GCTTATCCTTCGATCAATGGAATTTTACTCTCCGGGTTCCCATAGAGACAACCCAAAGGAGGTGCTGACTACAAGAACAAGAGGTAGGATTCTGAGTCGGACAAGAAGAGCAGAGGATACGGCGAGTAAATCACGAATAGCTTGGAAGCCCCCAAGATATGAGAATGTTGATTATTTACACGGACACACGTTGCAAAAACAGATCTGCTGAAACTTAGTTACCCCTCCTGTCCCCACCTCCTCCTTATTTCTTCCTGCTGGCCAAGTGTGAAGTAAAATGAAATTTGCGAACTTTGCGCTCTTTGCTTTCATTTCCGAGCCGCAGAGGGGCCTTCTTTTCTTTGATTAATAACAATTGATAAGCGCCGAGTTGGCCCAGAGACCTGGCTGCATCCCCGAGCTGCTGATGGCGTTGATTACCCGTGCCAGGTTCACAGTCCGCAGTCCACTTGAAATCGCAGTCTCAGTCCCGGAAACCCAAGGCAAGGTGGCAAAATTTTCGCGCCAAAAATGAAGATTTCCCTTATCACAATTGGCAGCTGCAGACGTTCCCCCTTTGCTTCGCGCCTGCTCCTTTTTTTGGCTGCTCACTCACGTTTTTCAATTTCTGTTCTCCTCCAAAAATCCCGATTATCGATTGCGAGTCCAGAAATTTGTTTAATTATACTCCCTGGAGGATTTTAGAGTCCGACTGCAGTAGTCCCCGCACATTTTGTGTGACTAATGGGCAGCGGAGCCACGAGGCAGGAATATGTTTGAAAATCACTGTAGCACAGTTGCAATGCTGCAACAACAGAGAAGATTTTAAGTAACACGATTTATTTTTGAAATTTTTAAAATAGTTTACTACCCTGAAATTCTCATAAAACAAATCCAAAAACAAGAGAGAACGCTATAGTCGGGTGCCCCGACTATCAGATACCCGTTACTCAGGTAAAGGGAGTGCGAGGGAGATGGAGATAGAAACTTTGATCACGCATAACTTTTTAACGAATGGTCAGATTTGAAATTTTTTTTCTACATTTCGATAGGTATTGATAAACACAATAAAACTGCATTTTTACTTTTCCGAAATATTTACATTTTTAAAATCGTATATAAGCGATTGTGGGCGTTAAAGGGGGCGTGGCACCAGTTTGAAACAAACTTGCGCTGCGTAGGAACTCCTAAAATCTACATGCAAAATGCCAATCTTCTAGCTTTTATAGTTTCCGAGATCTCAGCGTTCATACGGACGGACAGACAGACGGACAGACAGACGGACAGACGGACAGACGGACATGGCTATATCGACTCGGCTAGTGACCCTGATCAAGAATATATATACTTTATAGGGTCGGAAACGCTTCCTTCTAGCTGTTACATACTTTTGCACGAATACAATATACCCTTTTACTCTACGAGTAACGGGTATAAAAAAGAAATCCCAAGAAAAGTTGTGGGTAGTTCAACAAAGATATCCCGAGAAGACAAGTTCCGGTTATTACATTTTGATGATCTTGGGTAGAGCTAATAATAGTAGGGCAAGGAATAATACCTTACACAGAGTTAAAGAGTACTTTAAACGTTTAATAATAATTTTTGGGCCGGTTACCTTGGTACGGTTTGGAAAGGAAAATTTGCAGAAGTTTGAACAGGGGTTAAATCTGTAAAATAATGTAAATTAATTTAATTTTAATTAAAATTAACAGTCCTAAATGAGTGGATCAAAGTAACCAAACATCATAACTTCTTACTAGGTACATTTAAGCTGAAGTAATATATATCCAATACCCGTTTCGCTGCTTCAGCACTCATTATCCAGAAAATTTCCGCCCCGTTGACCCTCTCATTACGCATACGCCCCAATGGCATCCAACGAACTCTAAGTAGTGGCCCAACCAGACGCACTGGCGACTTGCTCCCGACATCCTAGTCACCTTAGGATTACTCCCTTGTGTTCCACCATCTCCAGAGAGATCTGCCAATGATTGGCAAAGCTTCTTTTTCGTTTTGCTGGGCTTTTTCCGCGATTTCGGGTTAACTGACCCCGAAACGATTAGCAGCGACGGCGGTCCGCGGGTTGAAAGCCAGCGACAAATGAACAAAGGGTCGATCCTGGGGATCTGTTCCTCCCCTGGCTCCTTCCTTCCCTTCTCCTCCCTTTTTCTGGCCGAGAGCGGGCCTGGGCCAAATTGTTCGATTGTTTATGGCTGCCAACAACGCCCACCGAGTGAAGTTGCGGCCAAGTGAGAAACCAGCAACAATCATCTGCCGGCTGATAAAGTGCCAGGCATCCCCTGCCCACCTGTATCCCCTACCCCTACCCCTACCCCACCGTAACCCCTTCTCAACTCCACTATGTGTGTTTTTGTTGTGTCGCTTATCGGCGAGGATCGATCGCAGCTCCGGCAAAGAGGAGAGAGACCTGAAGCTGAAGACGGCGGCCGAGCTGATTTAACAAATTGATAAACAATTGTTGGCGTTGGCCGCTGGGGGAGGGGGTGTGGTGGGGGGTAAGGGGAATTCCCCTCGCCTTCAACCCACCGAAAGGTGTGGGGGGCGGCGTAACGTTACGAAATGGCTAAACAAACGATCGCCCGATCGCGGTTTCAGCGAAGACTGCATGTTCCCAGATCCCAAATCGATTTCGTATGCCAATGCGTAGCCTTGGAATTCCAACACGCTCTAAAGGGTGCAAATATGATGTGCTCCATTGTTAAATATTAGTTTGCTTTCTATTAAATATCAATAACATCTTTAAAATTATCGATTATAAGAGTCAAAGTTCATTAAACATTTTTAAAATAGTGGAGACCAAGTAAATCAAAAATTTTAAAATGTAATTAAATAATAAGTCGTTTGAATTAAATATCTTACCTGCTAAATTAAGGATGTATTAAATTGATTTATGATGATATATAGACAATATATGGAAATTTAATTATTTAATCATTATTCAAATGGCTTGTCACCTTTTTCAAATCACATTTTTGAGTCTTTTGAAAGTGAATAAATTAAAGCTGATTGCAAAAGATATCATCTAGTTTTGGAAATCTTTCCAAAATACTTATTTCTCTGTTTAAAACCTCCTAGTCTTGAGGTGGCAAGAGATTTCACTGCCCAGAACTGAAACCGCACAACAATGAAAACGTTGGGAGGGTGTTGTGATGGCACTCGCGAGACAATCGCTGGAAGAGATCAGCTGCACCAACTGCTGAACCGCTGGACTGAGAGATCCCGGCCTGGGCTAATCCTCGGCGGCAGAGGCAGCTGTCGCTGGGGGCAAAGCTAGGGACTCCGAGCCCAGAGCTGGGGATCCCAGTCAGAGTCAGAGCCAGATCCAAACCAAAGCAAACCAAAGGCCATTGTTAGCTGTTAGTCTCCCGTTCGCACTCTATCGGCGCTCGGCCATCTCGCTGCTCTTCTCCTCGCGGAGCCCTCTTCTCCCGGACAAAACACTTTACGTGTGCGGCTTATCGCCACCCAATCGAAGGCAATAAATATCTTACAAATAAGCAGAATGCCTCGGAATGCCAGCAGAGCCCTTTGTTCGGTGGTGAAAGGGGCTAAGAGGTGCTGCGATTCTTCTAACCGATTGCTCACGTGCAGAATTGTGTGAATTCGTGAAAAATCGACGGCGGCAATTAGGGCGGGCCGTCAATAGTTTGGCAACAGTTGCAGCATTTCTTGCAGTGGCAGTGGCAACTCCAACATAAACAGGAACAATCACATGGCATTCAAAAGACTCAGGCGACGAACTTGGTATCCACAGGGAGAAACAGGGCATTTTTCCGCCGCTTTGATTAGATTAGAATAGAATTATAAATATAAAGTATAGTGCCACCAAGAATATAATTATAGTTGAATTTCAAATTTATTTTCTGTAAAGCATTTATAATTTAGCACCTAATCATTTGAATCACTTAAAAGTAGTTTTTAATTGCATCTCGATCGAAATATAATAATATAATATAATCGAAGAGTTTTCAATGTGAACTATTTTTTTGCTTCAGTGAGATAACTTTTAGGTTCCAGTTCTTGAATGTTTTCTTCCGTAGGAGCCTTTCTTTTTTTCTACTTGCCTGAGACTCGGTCGCTCTGGATGTGCTGACATTTCAATAGCCATCAATTGACAGGTCAACGCGCATCTTTTCCAGCCTCCAAGAAACGGGATTCGGGACACAGGGGAAGAATCCAAGAGGGGACTTTTGGGAGCTGTAGCCCGCACGAGCAGAGCAAATGTTTGCTGCGGTCGAGATGTCGAATTTCTGGCGAAGCGAGATGCAAACTGCAATGCTTATCCGGCGGCTCCATCTGCATGCCATGTGTGTGCCATGTCCACGTCCACTTCCACTGTCCGCCGCCATAATCTCGGCCAGCATCGCCTTTGGTCGTTATAATATTTCGCCGTGGCCCAAACAGAAACAAATCAGATGTCAGTTCGGGGATTCTGGCCAACTTCGAACTTTGCAGCGATCCGCAGGCCCTAATCATCAGTGGCCACCATGCGCTTTTCTTTTTTTCCTGCTCCTTCCTCTTCCACCAGCGTTTTCCACGTAAGAGATGGCCAGCGTGGATAAACTTCTCCCTGCTCCTCGATCAGCAGCTTGTCCAGCCGGCTCTTGTCGCATTGTTTTCACAGCTCTGACCACTGACAATTTGTTCGATAATAATTGCCAAGCAGCTGGCTGACACATAGATTCCTCACGAGAGGATGGCAGAGATGGGATGCAACAGATTCTGGGAAGCCAATTCGCGGTACTAAACTGGCAAGTAACAGTCTGACCTCTAAGCTGATTCCCAGGAATCTTTAGATTGGGGAAAAAACTCCTAACACCATGAGTAAAGCTCATAAATATAACCAAAATATCTTTATAATAAATGTGCTTGGGAACACTTTAATCCATGTTTGGTATTTATATTATAATCATGATGCTTTATTGTACTATCTTAAGAATATAATTGAACTTTATGAATATAAAATGATTGCTCAAAGTAAATGTATATTATTTTAACAGATTCCAAAGATTTGACCGCCCAAGAGATGGGCGAGGAAAAGCAGCAGCAGATGGAGGATCAACTGGATGACCAGTTAGAAGATGCCAGGGACCAACAGGCGACAAACAATAATGATGACGATGAGGAGTATGGTGACTTCGACCAGCCAGAAGAGACTTCTCCCGAGCAGGACCAGGATTTGGGGGAGACAGAAATGGAACGGGAGCACGATCACCAGCCGGAGGAGCAGGATGAACTGCCAGCCAACAGTCCCAGCACCCCGCCCAGGAGTCCCTGCTCTCCCCAGCTGATTCCCAAGCTGGAACAGCCCGCCACTCCGCCCTCGGAGGCGGAACCTTCTCCGTGTCCCTCGCCCTGCCCCACGCCCAAGTTCCCCAAGGTGCGTCTGAATGCGCTCCTGGCCTCAGATCCTGCACTCAAGCCAGATGCCAAGGAGCTAACCCTGCCGGACTCTCGACTGCTGGCTCCCCCGCCGCTCATAAAGCCGGAAACCCCCGCCCCACCGGAGGTGGTGGAACCCCTGATGAAGCCAGCCAGATTCATGTGCCTGCCCTGCGGGATCGCCTTTAGTTCGCCCTCAACTCTGGAGGCGCATCAGGCCTACTATTGCTCTCATCGGATTAAGGACACGGACGAGACGGGCAGTGATAAGTCGGGAGCAGGAGGATCTGCAACGGCAGCTGGCGAGGGAGCAGGGTCATCCGGAGGCTCCTCCGAACCACCAGCCAAGATGGCCAGGACAGGAAAGCAATACGGCTGCGCCCAGTGCTCCTACAGTGCGGATAAGAAGGTGTCCTTGAATCGCCACATGCGGATGCACCAGACTTCTCCGGCGGCTCCCACACTGGCCAGCTTGCCAGGTCTCCTCCAGAATGGAATACCACCGCCGGCCGTAACGCCCAGTTCGTTGGAGGATGGCTCTAGTCAAGTGAGTAAAGTGTTGAGGTGCCAGTGCCCCCTGCAACCGCATAATGATAACAATCCAATCCCATCCAGCAGCAAACCGATCGCTACTGCAGCCACTGTGATATCCGGTTTAACAACATCAAGACCTATCGGGCCCACAAGCAGCACTACTGCAGCTCCCGGCGACCAGAGGGCCAACTCACCCCGAAGCCAGATGCATCTCCGAGCGCAGGATCGGGACCGGGCTCCAGCGGAGGGTCAGGAGGAGTGTCTGTCCAGGCGGCTGCTCCCGGCAAGCTCAGTCCGCAGACCAGGAACAAGACTCCCACTCCGGCAATGGTCGCCGTGGCGGCTGCAGCTGCCGCGGCCGCCGCTGCCTCCCTCCAGGCCACGCCCCACCCGCACCCGCCCTTCCTGGCACTGCCCACCCACCCGATCATCATTGTGCCCTGCTCGCTGATTCGGGCGGCCAGCTTTATTCCAGGACCACTGTAAGTATCCATAGAAAGATGCAATTTAAAAGCTGGTCAATAATAAATATACTCGAGAACTTTGTAAACTATTAAGTTTATTTTTGGATAATTATGAATACACAAGAGTATTAAAGAGTTTTGTTCTATTTTAATCTGCAGGCCCACACCAAACTCGGGTATAGTAAATCCAGAAACCACCTGCTTCACCGTGGACAATGGAACGATCAAGCCCCTGGCCACAGCTCTCATCGGCACCTCTCTGGAGCCCGAACGACCCTCAGCTCCCTCGTCAGCTGCTGAGGCGGCTGAGCCCAAGAGCAGTCCACCGGAACCTAAGCGAAAGGAAGCAGGAGGAAGTCGGTAAGTGGTGATCAAAACAATCAGGGATCTATCTATTTAAAACAAGATTGATAAGGATACTATAACTCGATTTGTATGCGAATAAAATGGCTTTGCAGAAAAGTGACCATTCTTATCGACATTCTATTTTTAAAATGGCATACTCCCAAATGGTTTTTCGTCATTTTTATAGTGTTACCCCTTTCCAAATTTACGAAAAATGGCTTTGCAGAAAAGTGACCTTAAACCTGCACTTCTGAGCCCATAACTTTTCTTACAGTCATCCGATTTCCAAAAGGCATACTTCTAAATGATTGTGGTTTAATTATCTGAAAAACTGTATACTCAGTTTGGTTTGTAATATTGGGTCGATTTTTCGTCATTTTTACAGTGTTACCCCTTTCCAAATTTGCGAAAAATGGCTTTGCAGAAAAGTGACCTAAAACCTGCACTTCTGAGCCCATAACTTTTTTTACAGTCATCCGATTTCCAAAAGGCATACTTCTAAATGATTGTGGTTTAATTCTCTAAAAAACTGTATACTCAGTTTGGTTTGTAATTTTCGGTCGATTTTTCGCCATTTTTCCAAATTTACGAAAAATGGCTTTGCAGAAAAGTGACCTAAAACCTGCACTTCTGAGCCCATAACTTTTAACTTAAATTAAAATACACTATGCAAGGATATTAAAAGGAATTAGCAAACAAATTCTTTAGACATGAAAATCATTTTAGAGCTCCTAAGTCACATATTCTACCGAGTAACCGAAAAATCCCCATTTCTACAGCGAATCTGCGCCTTTGGATCTCTCGCTGCGACGATCGCCGATCTCCGTGAGTTCGTTGAGCTTGCGGCAGCGCCACCTGCGCGCTGCTCTTTTAGATGTTGACGAAGCGCTTCTCGGAGTTGGTGGAGCTGGCAAGGAGAATGTAGAGACTCCGCGACAAGGAGGAAGTGTGACTCCCGAGCAGATCGTGTGCGCCCCCTCCCTGCCGAGCAGTCCTTCGATGAGTCCCTCGCCCAAGCGACGAGCCATCAGCCCGCGCAGTTCCGGAGCTGGCAGTGCCTCCTCCATGTCACCACCTGGTCTCAATGTGGCTGTACCCCATCTGCTCGACATGCGATCCATGCTGCCGGCGGACTTTGGTCTCACCGAATCGTTGTTGGCCAAAACCAATCCGGAATTGGCGCTCAAACTAGCGGCGGCAGCTGCCGCGGCTGCTGTGGCAGGAGGTGGTGGAGCAGCAGCCTTTTCACCCGCTCCTCTTCCCGCGCAATCAGGTGGCGGAAACCCGGGAAGCGGGGGATCTACCGGTGGCTCCCAGCAGCCGCAAATCTATGTAAAGAAGGGCGTGTCCAAGTGCATGGAGTGCAATATTGTGTTTTGCAAATATGAGAACTACCTGGCTCACAAGCAGCATTATTGCTCGGCAAGGAGTCAAGAGGGTTCGAGTGAAGTGGATAACAAGTCGGCCGTTTCACCGTCCAATCCTGGAGCTGGAGGATCAGGAGCTGGCGGGGCAGAAGCTGCTACATCCGTAGAAACCACTCCGGTGGCATATCAACAACTGATCTGCGCCGCCTGTGGAATAAAGTATACTTCTCTGGACAACCTGCGTGCTCATCAGAACTACTACTGCCCCAAGGGAGGAGCAGCTACTGCCCCCGCCGTGACGCCCGCAGATCCTGGTCAACTGGCCATGGCCAAGGAGAAGTGCGGAAAGTGCAAGACCCTGCATGAGATTGGCCTGCCTTGTCCAGCTCCCGTCACAAATCCTCAGGCAGCACCCGCCTCCAATTCCCAGCAGCCCGCCTCCAATAGTCTGAACAAGTGTCCCGTATGCGGAGTAGTGAGTCCCACGGCCGCGCTGGCCAAGAAGCACATGGAGATGCACGGCACAGTGAAAGCCTACCGCTGCAGCATCTGCCAGTACAAGGGGAATACCCTACGCGGCATGCGCACCCACATCCGGACCCATTTCGACAAGAAGACCAGCGATGTGAACGAGGAGCACTACATGACCTGCATTTTCGAGGAGGAAAGCTCCACGCCAAGCCAGGAGCTGCCCCCGTCGGCAGGCGGAGCTGCAACAGTTGTCCACGATTCCATGGACCATGCCTCTCAGATGTTTAACTGCGATTACTGCAACTATGCCTCTACCTACAAGGGCAATGTGGTGGGTTCTCCTTGATCATATCCTTATAAGATTCAATAACTAACTATTGTTTTGCTCTTCCAGCTGCGCCACATGAAGCTGATGCATCCGCATGTGGCCATTAACTCACCCTCGATTTCACCCGACGCCAGAGATCCGGAAGTGACTTCGAACCCCACTCCCAACCAACACTCGAATTCCGATGTTTCCAATGGCGAGGCTGCCAGGTAAGGACACGGGGATATTGCCTTATATTGTCTGTCCGTCCGTCCGTTTCCCATATAGCCTCTTAGTTTTAAAGCTAACTGAATGAAACTTTCCCAAAATGATCTGATTAACAATTAATTTTATTAACAATTTTTTTTTGTTTTTGATCAGCTTCCTCATCAAGTCGGAGCCTCTTGACCCACAGCCGACGCTGAATTTGGTGCACGAGAACAACAAGTCGCCGATTGCCACGCCCCACATTAAAGCCGAGCCCATGGACATCGTCGTGGATGCGGCCCCTGGAGGACTGGTCCCGCCGATGGCTTCTCCGCTGGGAAACAGCAGCGTAGCCGCCGCAGCAGCAGCTGTCGCCGCCGCCGAGGTAATGAAGAAGTACTGCTCTACCTGTGACATATCCTTCAACTACGTGAAGACCTACCTGGCGCACAAACAGTTCTACTGCAAAAACAAGCCTATTCGCCCGGAGGTCAACGACAACCCCAGTCCGAATCACCTGGGCGGCAGTGTGGCGGTGGGCCTGAGCATCGGCGGAATGGTGGCTGGCCATGGCCAGCAGAAGAACAAGGAGAACCTGCAGGAGGCGGCCATTTGAGAGAGCCAGCTGCGGTGGGAGGCGCAGCGCAAGCAGCTGGAATGGTATTACAAATGCTTTTGAGCAGCAGCGACCGAACCTATTCGAATCCTAAGCATAGCCACCTTTAACATGTAAACTATACAAACCGCAACCTGTAATCGACGACAGTATTCCCGGAGAATCTCCCGTCGCTGCCCTCCACTTCCACACGCCACTTGGGGACTGACTCCTTCGACTTACCGATCGATAGCAGTAGATATATACAACGTTCACGCATATATAGTATACCTAAAGAACTAAACATATTAATTACCTAGATATATGTAGACGCATACCCATGCAGTGGGAACCATGACATATAATGCATGCCAAAGCTTACCACTTAGACAGAAACTAAATCGAGTGCAAGAAACTACAAGTTTGCAATGGATTGCGGAGAAAACGGAGTTGGAGTAGTCCTATGTAGATCCAATATTATATTAAATGGCTCGCTATTCCACGTGGAAGCGAGCTATTCAAACTGTGTAATTTAACTAAGTACATTATTTATTAAGTGTGTGCGACAATAAAACTAATTAATTTATTCAACAAAAAATATACAATTGTATTATTTGTATTCTTGAAAGGTGTTTGACTAATAAAAGCTGATCAGAAGAAAATATATTTTTTTTAATTTAAATAAACGAAGGGTTTTTGTAGCACTCTTTTGGGCTGAACTTATTTTCGTTTTGCTTAAAAAGTGTAGCTTACTTTCGGGCAGCCAATTATTACGCTTTCCGAGATCGCCCTACAGAGGTCGCTTTCGGCATTAGATGCCTACATTTATAGGCGCAGCAGCCTACTGGCATTTCTGTTCGCCTGGTATTTGAGTTCGAGAAATCTCCCAATTTGACCGACAAATTAATTAAAAAACCAAATTTCATTGAACATTTCTTGATTTGGTACACCAGGCGAACATAAATCTCAGTAGGTGGCTGGAGACATGAAAAAAATCAGGATCCACATACGATCCACAAAATCTTCCATACAGTCCATATTCGATCCACATTCGATCCACATACGATCCACACATATTTGTTGTTTTATATTTTGTGGATTGCATGTGGATTGTAAGTGGATCGAATGTGGATTGTATGGATGATTTTGTGGATCGTATGTGGATCCTGATTTTTTTCATCCACATCAACTATAAGGATCCGTATGCAATATTTTGTCGATAGTATGTGGTATTTTTGAGTTTTGTGGACCGTATTTTTGATCCACAACAACCTCCCATAACCGAAACCCATAAAAATCACCGGCAAAACAAGTGTTTTTTCTTTAAAAACTTTATTATAATAGATTTATGATCTAATAATAACTATGTATGTTTTGAGGTAAGTTAATATTTGCTGCATAAATTCCAGCTGGCTCTCCCCGACATTTTGCTCGCTGTAGTCCTGGAATTATGAAAATGCAGTCCAGCTCAGTCCAGTCCAGTCCACCACATAGTCCTGCTGGACCCTCCGACCTCCCCAAGGTTATAGGTGTATGTCGTGGTCGATTAGCATCCAGTTGGGATCTCCAGCTTTGTGAGATTCATCCAATAACTTTCGTGAGATAATCCTGGCAGAAAAGCTGAAAATAAATGAAAATAAAAAAAATTATTTCAGTCGATTTTCCGCAATGAAAAGGACAAAATCGTTGGGTTTTAAGCATTTATTCCAGCCTACCAAAAAAACCGTTACCTTTGTTCAGTCACACAGAGGCATACTCAGCGGGAGCAGCGGTTGAAGGGACCGAACGCCCCTCGTCATTCGCTAGACAAAATGCACCTCCGAACATCATTTTCCTCAGTCAAAATGCTTGCTTTCTGGATTTCAGATACCAGGCGAACATAATCCGTAGCAAGTATCGGTTGGCAAGTCGGAGTAAAATCTCACTGGAAAACAACCGTTACCTGGAAACGAATCTTCGCCCATTAAAAGACCATGCTGCCAGATCGGCATAAAAATATAGTTTTTAAGTTCATACAGAAAGTTGCCGGATCGACAGAAAAATTTGTTTTAAAGTGACCATTTATTGACATCTGAGAAATAGCCTAAAATAAAACTGCAAAAACGATTTTCGTAAGTTAATTGTTTGTAACTGAAATTCAATGATTAATAATACGCAACCTGCTCTTGCTTATCGCTTAAAAGTCGCATAATATGTCGCAGCTTTGTATCACCAAATGCAGCTGGTAGAGTATTAGCGATCAACAAGTTTTTGAGTACATTTTCAACGCAAATCATCCCCTACTTTTCGAGATAAACCCTTTCAAAACAATATACTCCCACTTGCACATTTACAAATATTACATTCTTACGTTATTGTTTAGTATATGCGATAAATTGTACTCAACTTAAACAATAAAGTAGCCCAAACTCGTTTTGAATTACTGATTGTTTTGCCAAGATTTAATGGTAAGGAGGGTCAACTGGCTGCCACGTAGCCAATCGCCACATGACGCATCCATGGGCGCTTTTAAAAGACTTACAGAACTTATTAGATTTTATTAAAATGATGGAGTACACATAATAGCTGGTATCAATCAATTGCAATAGAAGATATAATCAAATGGGGGTTGTGTGCAATAGTTTCGCTCAAATAAGTCAACTTAGTAAAAGTAAATAGATGTGGAAGCATTCACGAAAACGCTTACCGTCTAGATGTGTGTTTGTTAATGTCTATGTGGGACTCTAGCCGAGACTCGGACTACTCGGATTACTCGGTGGCCGCCATGGCGCGGGCCTGGGCGCGGACGCGCTTCTCGTACTCCAAGCGGTTCTGGCAGTAGATGGTGTAGGCCTCCGCCTGGGCCGGGTCCTTAATGTTGGGTTCGTTGAGCAAGTCCTGGATGCCCAGCAGGATCTGCTTGATGGTGATGGCCGGGCGCCAGTCCTTCTCCTCGTCGAGCAGCGACAGGCAGACGGTGCCCGAGGGATAGACGTTTGGGTGGAACAGCGGCGGCTCAAATTTGCACTTGGGCGGCGAGGTGGGGTAGTCGTCCTTGAAGATCATGCGCAGCTTGTAGAGGCCCCCCTCCCAGGGGGTGGACTTCTTGCCGGGAATGGCGCACTCCCAGATCATCAGATTGAGGGTGCCGTCCGGGTTCTTCGCGGGCCGGGCCACGAATCCGAAGGGGTGATCCTTGCGCCACGCCTTCCGTTCCTCGCCCAGCCGCGTGATTGCAATGCCGGACATGGTCAGCACTTAGCGTCTTTACTCTTTTGGTCAAGATGTATCCCGCAATCCTGTTTTTCTGACCGTCCAACTATTCTTTTGCACGCGCGTCTGTCTGCAAATGTGTGTGTGGGTAATTGGTGTGCAATGTGTCTTTTGTCGGCTTTTATTCCGCAAATTGTGTGTAAACCTACCTTTCCGGTGCTGATTGCCCTCCAACTGGTCTCGAAAATGCCTAGTTTTGGCTATCCACTGCCGGGTTCCAGAGTTTTTGCAAATTCTAGCGCAATTTTCGCAGGAAAGGAACGCTTGTCTTGTGGTCGCAAAAGGTACAAATTTTCCCAGGCAAACGGTCTCACTTGATTGTTATCGATAGCTAATGTGACCCTTAAAAATATACCATTTAAAAAATTAATATTTTACATTACTTATTTGTTTAAATTTATTAAATTTAATACGAAAGGTTAATATATTAAAAATATTTGTTTTTGCCTTCATGCATAAGTAACTGTTCAAAAATAATATTCCATTTGAGTTATTCCTTTAAACCTGTCCTTTTGACTTCTAAAAACTGAAGGATAACAACCATAAAAATAAGGTTCACTATTTCTAGAATATAAATCAGACTAATTTATTAAAAGATTAGTTATTTACATTTCCGTTAATAAAAGAGTTAAACATCGAAATCTTGGTGTTACGAAAATTTGAATTTATTCGCCTTTGAACAGTTTACATTAATGTTTGCATTTGGTCTTACATATAAAATGCAATGCAGTATTCGTTAATATTAAGTGGTTCCCTATAAAATCAGAGATCTTTTAATGGATTTATTAGAGAGAGGGCTCACTGTTTTACAAAAATTGGAATATATTTGTATATAAACTGTTCTTCCTTAAATGTACGCCTCCTTTGCGAGGAGCTACATAAATTAATAGACATCTACATTTAAATTTGATTCTGTTAAAAAAGTTGACAAATAATTTTCTACAATTGTAACCTAATCGAACTAAATAAGGTTGTTGTGCCTGGCCAAGGAACGTAGCTAACTCAGTAAGTGAATGGTCTTTTGTAGCGGGGTGCCGTAGAAGTTACGGATTGTGATAGAGAATGGATCGATAGCAAAAAGGAAGCTTGGCTAGCTGTAGAAGACATTTTACGATGGAACGAATGGAGATGTTGTTCGAGAAGCATCCAGCTGGCCTTACTTAGCCTTCTTGGAGTCCTTTTTTTTGCTGCTGGACGAACTGGTGCTCTCGTCCTTTTCCTTCTTCTCCTTCTTCTCTGGTTTTTCCTCGGGGTGGTCTTCGTAGCTGGAGGAGGAAAGTCAACTCAGTTTAGCATAGTTGCGCTGGGACACCACAAACGTCATACTTACGCAAAGAGGACCTTCAGTTCGCCGCGGACGAGGGCCACCAAGAGCGGGGTGCCCATGCAAGCTGGCACAAGGTAAAGCAGCGCCGGCTGGGCGTGCTTGAACACGTGCATCACAAAGATGGTAGCCAGCAGGCCCAGGAAGTAGGCGATCAGCGTGGAGTAGAAGTAGATGCGCGTTTTGCGCTTCTTGCTGTCGTCGAAGCGCAGCAGCAGGGCAATGAAGATGCCGGGAATGACGATGTCGCCCAGCCCCAGCATGGCGAAGTTGGAAGCGTTCAGGCCGTTCTCGATCAGGTCCTGGGGGAACACTAGCTTGATGGGTGCCTCGAAGCTCTTGGCCACGGTGACCATCACGTTGGTGCCAAACACCCAGAAGATGTCGTAGAAGAACAGACCGCTCAGCAGGATCACGCCTGTCACAAAGTTGTTCAAGTGCAGCATCTCCACCCCGTTGATGGCGAACGCCAAGCCAAACAGGTTGTTGGCGATCCAGTGCTTCTTGAGCAGATACCACACCCCGATCACCGAGGAGATCACCAGGCAGACGATGTCATGAGTGGAGAACTTGTAATTTACAATATCCTCCTTGTGCTTGCCCTCGCCCTTTGTGAACAGGATGTGGAAGGGCACTTTGGGCACGGCGGCGGGCATCAGCGAGTTGATCACTGGACTGAGCAGGTGCGCCAGCGCAATTACTCCGAGCACGAAGAAGTAGCCGGTCAGCAGGTAGTTGATGTGTACCTTCTGGAAGATCTTGAAGAACAGGTACAGCCCGAAGAGGGCCGCCGAGGCGATCAGCGGGAAGTACATGGCGTCCTTCTTAGTCATCGTGTCGGCCTTCTCGCCTGTGGACTGCAAGAAATCGAAATCCCCAATTAAGCCAGTTAAATCTGGTCGTGAACGTAGCCTCATACCTTCTTCAGCTTGTGCAGCTTCACCGAGCGGATCGAGCCGAAGATTATGGGCAGCATGGCCATCACCACCAGGCTGCTGTAAGCCACGGCCATGCCCTCTGGCGTCGAGACCTTCTTCTCCCCGGGCGCCGACTCGTTCTTGGGCGCGTTCACGTTCTCGATGATGCCCTTAAGCACCTCCTTCACGGTTCCGATCACTTCCTCCGCCATGGTGTCAAATCCAATCCTGTCCTAAACTGAGCTGGTTGCTTCCCGATGAAAATCGCCGGCTTGCGGGGTTGAAAAACCGTGAAATGACACGCAGCAGCACACGTCAACAATCTAATCAGTGAGACCGCTCGCCGCCGCTAAAACACACTAAAAGAAACCGAATGGTCGAAAATATACCGCAAACATACTGGAAAAGTAATAAACCACGTATAACGGAAAATATACCAAATAATTTAAAATTACATTGTTAAAGAGTGGAAATGATGACCATATAACTACACAATTGAAAATAAATTGTACGTCAGAGAGACATATAACAATACTTTCAAATGAAAGAAAATCTTGTGGAAAAAGGGCTTAGAAGGACTTTTAAAATAGAATATTTAAGCACACTGATAATCAAAATCTATAATAACTAAAATAGTAGTGCAAAGCACCCCAAGAAGGTGTATATAAACCTGACTTGACAGCCCAGACGGTGCTTGCATATAGTCGAATGTGTATTAAGCTCCACCCACCGTCGAAATAAAAAAAACGACACAAAATGTTGTGGGATACTGTACAGCCAAAAATAAAAGCTTAGCTTTTGATTCGGGCCATACTCTTCGATCTTCCCCGTACCGAAAATAAATACGGCTCCCACACTAAAACACAATATGTAGGCTGTTATCTGTACCCCCGGAGCTATCAATGCCTCGGCCATGTGCCAAACTGCGAGCTGAGCTCAGTTCCCTTTCAGATTCAGAGAGGCAAGCACCGGGCATCACTGCAGACACTTAACTTAATTCGAAAACGACTTCGTTCCCCAAGATAATGAATCCGATTTCCGGTCTACTGCAAACGTTAATGGGGATATTGTTTCTGTTTTCGGCTTCCGTACCAGGCGCTACTTGTAAGTGTAAACAGTTGCAGAAGCCTCTGATAAATCCGAATACCCATCAGCCGACCCGGACGCAAAGAACGAGAGTGTCAGGGATCGCCTCCACCTAGGCCTGTTCCTCAACTACGACAGCGATGTGCAGCCTCAGTTCCAAGGGGCCCCCACCAATGTCTCCTTGGGAATGGTGATCAACTACATAGACATCGATGAGATGAACGGGAAGCTGACCACCCACTGCTGGTTGAATATCGTAAGTTCGTTCCGTCCCAAGTAGCTGAAAAATAAGTGCAAGATAAGTTTCTGTTTTTTCCCTTAGCCCACATACATTTGATAAACAAATTTTTTTTAAAATATTATTTAAGTGAGCTGGGTATGAGAACGTTATTTGTATCCCCATAAAAGTATCTCAAATGAACTGAGGATTTTCAGAACATCCCACTTACTTAAAAGAAATCAGTTTTAAGAAAATCGTTTTGCAGCGGTGCTCTATATACAGTAAAACATATTTCAAAATAATCAAGCGGTTGATAAACCAAAACATTTTGAAATCTACATAAACGACCCAATAGTAATACGAATGAGATTAATATTTTTTTTAAGTACATATGCACAATTTCAATTGTAATATGAACTCTATGAATCGTCATTATTCGTCTGATTTAATAATGAGAAATCAGTTTTAAGAATAATATTTTCAATGAATTAAGGTCCTTTCACTAATCCACATGATCCTTCGCAGCGTTGGAAGGATGAGGAGCGTACGTGGGTGCCATCGGAACATGACAACATCCAGGAGATCACTTTGAAGGCCAGCGAGGTGTGGACACCCCAGATCACGCTTTTCAACGGCGACGAGGGAGGCCTACTGGCGGACACCCAGGTGATCCTCAGCCACGATGGCCAGTTCCGGCGGATGCCTCCGGCCCTGTACACGGCTTACTGCAACCTGAACATGCTGAATTGGCCGCACGACAGGCAGACCTGCAAACTGAAGATCGGCTCCTGGGGCCTGAAGAACATCCTGCCAGATAACACAACGGCCAAGGGTAAGTCCGTGGACTACGACGACCAGGTACAGTCTCCGGAGTGGCAGATTGTGAACTCCAGGGCGAAGTTTGTGAGTCAGGACTACTACGGGTACATTGAGTACACTCTGACGGCCGAGCGTCGAGCCTCGATGTACACTGCCGTCATCTACACGCCGGCCTCCTGCATCGTCATCCTGGCGCTGTCCGCCTTTTGGCTCCCACCGCACATGGGCGGCGAGAAGATCATGATCAACGGCCTGCTCATCATCGTCATTGCCGCTTTCCTGATGTACTTCGCCCAACTGCTGCCCGTTCTGTCAAACAAAACGCCGCTTGTGGGTGAGTCCTGGCTATTAAATGCAGCATGGGCTTAAAAACTTTGCAAATGAAATTAGGTTGTGTAATAGTTTACAATCCATAATACTACAACTACTACCACTTCTTTCAGTGACTTTCTACAGCACCACCCTGCTGTTCTTGAGCGTCTCAACGATCATTGAGGTGGTGGTCCTGTACCTGGCCACTGCCAAGCACAAGAGGAGCGTGCCGGAAGCGCTGAAGAAGTTGCTCCACGGGAACCTGGGCACCTGGCTGCTCCTCTCCCATTTCAGCACCACCGGTGAAATTCAGGCCGAGAAGACCAGGGAGATGGGCGAGAACCTGTACGAAAACCCTGACGAGGACGATGCGACCAATCCGCTGGACATCAATCCCACGGGAGTACCGAGCTACAAGGCCATCCAGTTCGACTGGGCGTTGCTGGCCGCCGCCGTGGACCGAATTTTCTTCGTGGCCTTTAGTCTGGCTTTTTTGATCCTGGCCATAATCTGTGCTGTCTAAGTCCTGTCTTAAAAACATTACTTATGCACCCTTATCTTGAGTAAGAACGTTGGCGATCCATATTAAAATTATAAATATTTAGAATTCGAGCGGTCTTAATAAAGGTATGGGTGGTCACCTGGTTATTTTTGCTTTAAATTTCTCATGTATTTAGTAAACACTATTTACTCTATGTGCGAACTTATAATTATTTAATGATGAGACACCGTTTGGAATAAGTATCTCTGCCGAATGTGGGCTTACGGGTAGAAGGTTAACAGGCGAAGTAACAAATTGGCTCTCGTCTCCGAGTATTGCTCTGCGATGCTCTAGGCTATCACAATTCCTCAATTAACCCAAAGTAGCTGGAATTATGCGAAATGTCCTTTTTACGGCCAAAGGTCTGACCCTCGCTGAGTGGTTGTTGGTTGGTGGCAGGATGGTTGGATGGTTGGATATCTCTCCGCTCTCAGTGCGCAGTGGGCGGTCCAATGCGCATCCTTTTTCCTGCCCCATCGGAACTTACAACCCCGGCGACAAATTGGGGTTGCTGCAAGCTCAATTAAATGCGTTTGTGGTGGGAGTGCCCTGGTTGTAGTTCCCCGTTGATGAGGATGTCCTGGCTGAGTCTCCGGCTGCTGTCCCACCTTGGAATGGAGCAGTGAAATTCGACGTGGAGGCGGAAGGAGCGGCGGGCGCCTGACCAGGCGAAGGTTGCGAAGAGGCTGCTGAGGGCGAGGGGAATCCCAAACTGGAGCTAGTCGATGCGGGCGACGTGTGGTGCGGATGCAGGAAGTGGTGTTGTCCCAGCTGGTGGGGCGGAGGCGGTTGCGGATGTGGGTGTTGGTGGTGCTGATGATGGTGGTGCAGCGGCGGTGGGTGGCGGGCCAACTGCATCGCCCCTCCTCCGTGGTGGTTGTAGGAACCCAGCATACTGGAGGCAGGATCTCCTCCCTGTGCCTGAGCTTGGCAAGCGGCCATCAGTCCATGGAAGTCGAACTTGTACGCATACCGCTTTCCATGCACCTTGGTCATTATATTCTTGTCGTAGTAGTACCTGCAAGCGATTGAAAAATTAAATCATATTAATTCTTTGACTTAAAATCGTAATCATTAATTATCTATATATTAATATACAGTAAACAATGTAATAGTTTATTCTTAGAAACATTTTTTTTTGTTACTAACTCAGGCTTGAAATGTAAAATATTTTCTTATTAAAAAGCATGCAGTCAACTTTGCTGATTTATTTATCAAGTAAACTGCACTTTTATCGTACAATAGATTAACGTTTTGAGAACAGCTATATTTTTTTAATTTAAGTCAAGGAAATTGTTCAGCAAATTTTAAAAAATTAATCGCACTTTTTACATTCATAATCTTTTTTAAAACGGAAGATAATTTTGAGAACCTGTCCTCGAACTTTCAATAATAGCAGTTAAAGCACTTTTCCATATATCTATCGGAAAATAAATATTGCCTACCGTAATATTCTAATGATATGGAAGGGTAATCAAGTCGACGAAACTCACCTGAGAGCCCGGCTCAGCTTGTCGTAGTTCATGTTGGGCTTGGCCTTGCGCTCGCCCCACCGCCTGGCCACCTCGTCCGGGTCGATGAGCCGGAACTCGCCCGATTGGCCCTCCCAGCTGATGGCGGCGGCGTTGGACGAATCGGCGAGCAGCTCCAGCAGAAACTGCCACAGCTGGATCTGGCCCCCGGAGCCCTGGGCGACCAATCGGTGCGAGGCAGCGTTCAGCAGCTGATACGGATCTGAAAGAGAGAGGCGGATGGGGGTATTAGTGGCGAATACTCGGATACAGATGCAGACCCCTCCAGAAGCAGATACAGATACAGATACAGATACTTTGGTCGCAGAGACACCAAGATGCGATGGCAGAGAGAGCGAGCGAGCCAGAGAGAACCGCGGCCGAAAGCCAGCCCAGCCAAACAAGACTTTCTGGTGGGGGTCGACGACGTGGCAAGAGTGCCAAGTGGCACTGAGTGCCATGAGCCAGCGCGGATTCACAGAAAATCAACCGCAAACGGACATAAATCCTGGATCTCACACTGCACACAGAAAAAAAACCGGTCTAAAATCAACATTTTGACGACTAATGGGAGATTTTATAAAACATATACAAAGCTCTAGTTTTTAGATAAATGGTTATTTGTTTAATGATATCTTGTTATTTTAGTTAGTCATATTATCTAACAAATAAAGCCGAGACAATATATAGAAATTTGTTGTTTTTATATGCGATTAAAGTCGAAGACTTTCTATTATTTCAGTAAGTTTTGCAATAATATGGCTTCTGATGTTTAAAACAGAGTTATTAGATGAATAGTGCGACTACCTTCTTTCCCAGTTATTTAAAGTCATGTACGTAAAATAATAAAAATTGGTAATTTTTTGAAAACAGTGACGTGCCAAATTATTTTTGTGGTAAGTTTCGGATTTACCACATTAACTATATTACAAAACTATACTTCCAATATAATTTTTGGATGTAAAACCGTGTACAGCTGACTATAGGGACCTTACCAGAAATGGATTTATTAAAAAGCTTATTGGAATTATAAATATATTTTAATTTGGTGCTAGTGTCGACTGGAGAACGACAAAGACGCACAGCACCAATGAACAAATAGCTCCTTCAAGTATAGTGAATACATAAACTTGATTATTGGCCATGGGGACATTCCCATATCCCGAACTCTGAGCACCTCCGTAGGGAAAATCCCCTCAAAGTGCCGCTGCAAAAGCACGAATGTGCCATAACCACGGTGACTCATCCATTGATCAAGCAATGCCGCGGCTACAAGACAGAATTCTCACTTCTAGTCTATGTCAGAGCGTTGGACCCACCATCTCGTACCCATTCATATTTCTAGGCGCACCGCTCGCCGGAAATGCCAGAGATCGAGTGGTTGCCATTGGTAAGTCTCCTCGCCGCCGTCCATTCACATGATTCTCTGCAATTTCGGCCCTGTCTCAGCGGAAATTCCAATGAATTTTCGGCCACATGTACGCCTCTCTTACCATTGAAGATCATCGCGGTGTGCGGATGCTGGTGGTGCTGGTGGTGATGGTGGTAGTGGTGGTGCACGGCCGCGTGGTGCGGATGGGGATGCGGATGCTGGCCGACCGGCGGTGCCGTCTGCATCCGAAGGCCGAATCGCCGGTTGAAGTCCTCCGACAGGCGCCACATGACGCCCACGTCCACGCTGACGCTCATGTTGCGTTTTCTTTCAAAGAGCTTTTAAAAGGCCCGGATCTTTAATTTCCGACTTAACAATTTCTTTATGTTTTTGGTTTTCTTATATTTCAATTACCGACGGTTTTTGTTTCATATTTCACATTAGTTCGGTGTACGTAATAAAACTAGCATTAGACTTTATCATTCTTAAATGGCATAACAAATGTTTTTTTTAAGTCCGTAGATTGCTGAACTGTACACTGAAAGTTGATTGCTTTAATTTTTTAACTTTTATTGATGATTTTCAATATTTTCATTTGTATCAATTAAAGATTTCTTTATTTAGGGAATCGTTTAACATTGAGCATTGGCTTATTTTATAACTCTTAAATGGCTTGACTTTTAACTTTAAAATTGTTGTATTAGAAATTAAATTTTATTTTAGATTGAATAGTTTTCCCTCGGAGCTATGGAACCGTATCAGACGAGGGCCATTTGGCAACTGAAATGTCAGCCAAAAGCGCTGGCCGGAATTTGCTCCTTATCACCGGACGGAATGGATGCCATCTTCGCCAGCATCCGAGGAGCAGGCGAAGCTGCGGCAACGAATACGGCTCACCTGCGCAGCTGGGGGTAAATGCTGCTTCGGTATTTGCCGGAGAAGTCACAAAAGTCAGAGGCCACGTGCAGCCACTCAACCAGCAGCCACCCCAACCTACCAAAAAACATATACTAAACAACTATAAATTCTGTTTTCCACTCATTCGACCAGTTAGTACCCATTATGACCCACTCAGTTATTTTTAAAGTGTGCGTGGATTTCATTAAATTGAAAATAGATGTTTGCGTGGGAAAATATTTTCCATTATTCCAATAACGTATTTCACCTTCTTTTCACCTTATTTCACCTTATTTTTCTAAAATATTAATATTTGGGTTTGAAAATAGTCTGCAATTTTTATATTTATACTCTGCTATTATATACTTTGAAATTAACAAATAATCCTTGATCTTTTAAATAATTTGTAAAATGTGTTGGAAAACCAATTTTAGGATCTATTTAATTAAACTTTTCTTAATTTTATAAATTGTTTCCTGATTTTTTAGGTCAAAAGGTTTGTCACTCACAACTTTCTGTAACAAACTGCTGCATACTAGGAAATCCTATATACCCTGGATATCTGTCATTATAGGGCGGTGTAAAGGGGCGGTGACTCAGCCATTGGAACAACAACTGTAGCCCACAACAAATGTAATCTGCGTGACGGCGGCGACGCGTAATCCTCTTTGGCATAAAAAACAAATCAATTAAATCGACGTCGTCTGCTCTCGGGATCAAGCCAGCTATATAGATGTACAACATATGCCAGACCCAAATCAGGAGGCTTTCCTCCGCTTTTCAGCTGCTCTTCCTGCCACAGGAAAGATGCGACGAATGAATATTTTCCTGTGCCCAGAAGCTGACCACCCGCAGAGCTGTTGTCACTGACAAGCCACCCAAACCACCCCAACCACCCCAACCACCCACATCCACACCCACACCTTTTCGGCCCGACTGAAACTTGACTCGGCGAATTTGGTCGCTGGCGTGGGATTATTTTGATTTTATTATTAGATGCCACATCCTGCGAGAAATTATCATATTTACATCGTTTATTATTAAGTTCATCACTTGACGCGACCGCCCGCTAAGTCCTGGCCCTGCTTTTTCGCGCCCCACTCATCACCAGTTAATAACTGGAAAAGTGTTGCATACTTTGCTGCTGTCGCGTAGAGATTTTCCCAAGCGATTTACGTTTATGGAGTCGGAAAGTTGGCAAAGTCAAGGAAAGTGTAATTAAAAGGTTGTTCACTGGCAGGGGATTTTCCCATACCTTTGGCCACTTTTCTTCTTTATCAACACATTAAGTAAGGGCGGAATTAAGGAGAGCAGAGTTTGGGGGACAAACAATCAATGAAACACATAAGTAACGCCTCTATCAGCGAGTCAACATCTTAATAAGTTGCCATTTGGCTGCTGGCGGAGCTCGAAAGGATTCAATTGATGCCTGACCACAAAGGATTCGACAGTCTGAGAATCGCACCACTGGGAATAGCACGTGAACCCAATTACCAAGCAGTTCAATCTCTGACCTCTGGACGCATCAGATTTATGTGATCCGAGATTAACTTCTGCTGGACAGTGGGAAAAATGAGGGTCTAAAACTAAGAGGAACTTAGTCCATTCATGAAAGGTTTGGCTTAACAACGCAGGGAAATCCAAAATAAATCCAAATAACAATAGTTAAATACCACTTTACTGTAAGGATGTTTTTTTGAAGCACACACCTTTTTTCACAATATTTCGCAATGAGTTTAAGATCAAGAAACAGGAATCTGCTCAGCTTAAGGGATAGTTTTATCCTTATCAATCTAATAAACAAAGATAAATAAGTGGGTACCAATAAGTAAATTTGTACGACTTTTTGATCCAATAGAAAGGAAAGAAACCAATAGAAACTATATAAACCTCAATTGAAACATACCCCTAAAAAGGTAATACTTTTTTTATATTTACTCACTTGGTTCGTTGTCGTTGAGCATGGGACTGGTCTCCCGTCCGGTGGCGTGGTATAAGCTCAGGGCAAAGTGCTTGGACAGGAGCATGCCGCCACGCCTGGATCCTGCACAGACCCAGAAGTCCGCGCGGGTCAGGTCACACAGCTCCTGAGCGTCCTTAGGGAATCTGTCGATATCCGGCTCTGGATCCAGTTTAAATTTACGCGTTGTCCACTTCACCCAGCTGGCAATATCCTCGGAGGACCAGGCATGCGGATCCACAGGTACTTCCACCGGCGAGGGGCTTCGATTGGAATCAATGGAGTCCCTTCTAGGTGATGGAGGCGGGTTGGGCGAAGAGGCGCTGGGAGCAGTGGGTGTGGCCAGGGGGAGTGGCTCTTGCAAGTTGCGGGCGGGTGGTAAATTCGATTTACTTCTGCTGCTACTACTGGTGGAGGAGGAATCCGTATCGGAGCTGGTTGAGGAATCTGTGGAACCACTGGAGTTGCTGGTGGAACTGCTGCTGCAGCGCCTTCTCCTTCTTCTCCTGCTGAAAGAGCTCTTTCTTTTTGCTCCGGAATCTGCCCCCATTTTCTTCTCCTTCGCTTCCAGTTGGACCTCGTTTCCGGATCCGATACTTTTTTGCCGGACATCCTGGTGCATGGCATCAATTGACCTCTGTTGGCACCAAACACTATGAATCGTCTGGATGTGGATTTGGTTGTGGCTTTGCCGGCTACTCTGCAGAATGGCCATTAAATTGTCTAAAAATTCGGGATTTTCCTCCTTTTTAGGACACTGGTTGGACAAGCGCTATTTGTTACAGGTATTTTGTAGCTTTTTCTTTTCGCTTTGGCTCGTCATAATATTCTTGAGTTAGCGGCTAAATATTACTCAATATATTTATATATCACTTTGTAGGGTGTATTGCATTTTAAAACTTAGTCATTTAAATTCACAAAGCCTCTGACACTTTCACTTTAAGGTCTTTAACCGGTAGGAAGTCGAAGACTCAATTAATTATTTTTGTTTGCACTATAAAATCCATAAAATTTACTTTTACTTCAGGTTAATTACAATATTCTGGGAATTGCAATCCGTAATATTGAATTTATTTATCCACTGCAACCGGTTGATTGAGGAAAAACGAAACGGATTTAGGATGTGGGTCCGGCTGGCTGGATGATTCACCCCGGAGCCAGGGTACTTCACCTGCTGACCAACAAGTGGAGTCAGTTGCAGGCTATACACGTGCCACAAATCGCGGAAATCTTTCGCTGAAAGTTAGCGATAGGAAACTTTTAATAACCGTTATTGCATTAACCGATTACAGAACCACCGAACGGGTCAAAAGTACCGCCGTAGATCACTCCAGATTACCGATCTCTGCTCGAGCGTCCGCACCTATTGGCGAGTGACGAACTAATGATCGGCACCGGCGCACTGTGATAAAGCCATGACGAAGTCGCAGCGCCGTGAGCTTTGGCGCTCTCTCGCAGAATCGGCTGCCTCATGATCAATTGGCTGAAACCGAGGGGTTCCTAGTGCTCGGGACCAGTTTGCCGGACGAGTTGGCCACTGGGCGCGAGAGCTTTCCGCTCTCCGGAGTGCTCCGCTTATCGCCAGCAAATAACAACCTTAAGCATGACGTAGTGGAACTGGCGTAGTCCGGATGAGTCACTCGCCCATAGCGCAAACAAATCGGCGATCGCTGGGAAGCCGACGGAGTTCCCCAGGCGTTGTGTGGGGCGGAGGGGGTGGTTAGGGTGTAAGGTCGTTTGGCAGCCAACGAAAATTCATTCATCGATTCCCCTACTGTTTGAATTCGTTTTTCTTGCTTTTGCCGCGTCATTTTTCTGGGAAATCGGGCATGAGTCGTTAGTTGTCTGCTGCCTATGCCTACTTACGAGTATATCGGTGTATCTCTGCGATATTTGGCAACAGGTCGCCCCACTGAAATCACACAGAGTACAAAATCGAGACTATTTACTATATAATATTTACCAAAGTTTTACAATTGATGTATTAATATTATGTTATATTTGAATACTAAATAATTCGATGTTTTTCTAACAATCTTTAATACTTATAAAAAATAGCTCTATAGTTATTATTGGATCAAAATATATTATTACATTGACGTGCTTAGATATCGCTTATTCCATGACGGTAACCGATTTAGAGCACATCAGCTTTCAATTGCTCTTTCGGCTTGTTTGAGTTTCGCTGACTTCCTGGAAATCATTCTGATTTCATAGCTGAGGACGCTTTTGGGCAAGTGATTCATGCCGATCCGATGGCCCGCTCTCTTTCTCTTTTCAGCTGGCGCCGGCAAATACGGCGATCCAAATCCATATCACTGTTTATATTTGTTTTGATGTGACGTCTATCACTTGAACCCACTGTACGTTTTTATAACGAAAGCTTTTACTAGACCCGCGTGTATTGTACGATTCATTCATAAATTGCCAGTGGGTCAAAGGGAGCGTGGGGAGCTTTTAGAGTTTTGTGAGCAATCTGGCGAAATACTTGCCTATATGTACAAATATGGCTCATTGCCTCCGCTGGGTTTTGTTTGAGAACTTTGAACGCCCTAACATTACGTTAGTTGATTTAGAAAAGGGTGCTTTCCACTAATCGCGTCTAAACAATCATAGTCATGCTATTATATCATTTGATTATCGTTATGTCTGCTTTTATTTTTCTTTACAATATCTCATTAAGAAAACGTTTTCGGAATATTCATTGCGCAACGAACCTATTACATTCTCACAAGACGATATGGAATTCCTCCGCAAGAAGATGTTCCACGCGAAGATCTTCTTGCAAAAGTGTTCCTTCGTCCTAGAAAATTGTAATTAATGATTAATCTGATAACACTTTAATCAATAAATGGCCAGTAATTCTTATTCAGAAATAGGGGACTTTTGGTTGTGGAAATGCTTCTGGTAGCAAGAATAGATTAAAACTTGAGCAACCACTTTTATATTAACGTAACTGGGATTTTTAGGCTTAAAGATACCCTTCAGTACCATCGGATTGCATTTACTGCGCATGGTGATAAGGCAGCTAATATTTTCCATTTTATAGGGTTTGCATAGCATATTTACATTTTATCCGCAATGTGAAATAATTAGGGCCGTGACTTGTTCTGCGTTGCCTATTTATTGAATCACCTAATGCAGTTCCTCTGTGATCTCCTCGTCATCGGCCTCGTCATCATCGCTCGTTGTCAAGGCTGAAGTGCTGCTCATTCCAGTGACGGCAGTGCCGCTTGTGGAGGCGGTCACTTGCCGGCCCGAATTCCAGATGAGATCAAAGTCCAGGTCGCATTCCTGGGCGATTCTTTGAACTATGCCTCGATCCAAGAGACCAGAGGCGCTCCACGAGTTGTCTTTCACGGCTAGTTCCTTCAGAGCTCTTCCAGCCTCAGGATACTGTTTGGCATAGACCAGGGCTCGAACCAGCATGGACAGAATGTGAGCGTGGCGGATAGGCGGCAGCTCCGGTTTTACTTAATGCAAAAAAATGAAATTATTCACACTTCACAAATTATAAGGATAGCGACTTACTTAGCATGCTGCGGCAGGATCCGATGACCAGCTGGTGATCACCTTCTCGCAGCGCCTGCTGGATTTCTAGGATCGCCTTTACATCCGCTACCGTGCGCTGCAGGTTGTTGTAGGCGTGCTGGGCATGACTGAGCTTCTCCAAACACTTGGAGGCTTCCTGCATGGCGGTCAAGGCCTTGCCGTAGTCCTGAAACTCTTCGATCTCGATCTGGGCGCAGATGGCATAGAAGTTGGCCAAGGAATCGAAGGCCTGGCCCTTTGTATAAAAACTGACAATGTGCTTAAGGACTTGGGGGTCCGATTGCCAGTCCAAGGCTTGGAGATAATTTGCTGCCATAATGTAGACCTCACGTTGCCTGGACATATTGGCAAAAAATATAATTTTGTCGGTGTTACCCGATTTCAAAAGACTCTTCATCGCCCGCATTTTGTCACCGGCCTGGGTGAACTTCTTGGTGGCACTGTGGTAATCACCCTGCTGCTGAAGGATCTCGCCCAACTGGACTAGGATATTGACTCGAATGGCCTCGTCGAACTCACCCTTCTCCGGAGTGAGCATCTCGGACAACTCTTCGGTCACCGGCACTCCCTTCTCCATGCAGATACTTAAAGCTCTTTCCAGGTGTCTGGTCTTGGCCAGCAACTGTACGGCCTTCTGGAACTGCTCAATACTGCAAAAGAAATCCGCACACCGATTGATCAACTCGGCATCCGACTCCGGCACGAGATCAGAAGCTATAATCTCCAGAATTTCCGGCTGCTGAGACTCGAAAGCCATCTCTAGGGCTTTGTGAAGCATTCCAGCCCTATGATAGAGTTCCACGGCGTGCTTGAAGTTCCCGCACTCCTCGAAATAAGCAGCTGCTATGGCCTTATCCCTCTGCCTCGATGAACTGGCTACTGTCCAGAGTTCCTCCTGGAAGTCATTCTCCTTGCAAATGCGAATCGCATTGCTGAAGGTCTGGGCACGCGTGAAGAACATAATAGCTTCCTGGAACTTTCCCACATTCTCGTAGTGTCTTGCCAAGTGATAGCAAGCCGCTTTGTCCCCAGATTGTCTGGCAATTGCATCCGCCTTTGAGATCTTGCCGAGGTAGCAAAGAATCTTTACCTGAAAAATAGAAGACACTATTAATATCTCTATGGTCTCTAAAACTGTACTGAATTACCTGCGAGAACCAGTCCTCCGCCTTGTGGTAGACGGCCAGAGCAGCATCCATGTCTCCGGAGCTCTCGATATACTGGCCCCACCACTTGAGCAGCTTGGGATCGCTGGTGGTCTGAATGTAGCGCTTCATGGACGCTGGATTCTCCAGTAGCAGTTGTGTAATATTCTGCGCCGGATTCTGCGTCTTCTCGAAGTATTCCAGAGCTCCCTTAATGTCACCCTTTTCTCGCAACTCCTGGGCCTTCTGGTAGTAAGTGTGCTTCAGATGAATGCGATCCTCAGTCTCGGCCAACTGCAGGGCCTCATCCAAGTGTCCTGTGGATTGAAGTAGTTTGTTGAGCAAGTCGAAACGCTTGCATTGGCGGTATAGATCCTTGGCTTCCTCAATCATTCCTAGTTCAATTGCTAGAACTGCTACTTTGGCTTCAGTCTCGAGATCATCATCTTCAATGGCTAGGCGCAGGGCACGAACGGAGCGGGCTTGCTCCAAATGACCCATGCACACCTTAGCCACATCCAATCGGTTTGTGTGGACACACATCTTTGCCAGATTGGTCCAGATCACTTTGGACTGAATTGATCGAATGCTGCGATACGCCATATCCATATTTCCCTCTGCCACATGAAGGCTGAAATTCAAGACTCGCTTCCGGGTAACTGGATCGCATTGCTGGAGGTCTACAAAATCCTGGAGGGGCTGCTCCTCTACTGCATTGATCTTCAGGCGGAGCACGTTTGGCACACATAGGTTCAATAATTGAGAGCCTGGACTCATAGGTTGAGTCTCAAGAATATTGAGGCATCCTTTCTCCGAATAAAATAAAAGTAAAATCTTTGACAGAACAAAATGACTGGGTTGGGGCGAGTTCTTTTGAGGCAGAGTCATTTGCATCATTGACTTGACCTCCATGGCCAGGAGTCTAGGTTCCTCTGCATCCCAAAAAATTCGAACAGGCAGGCTGGATGAGGAGTTCTCTTTCCTAGAACTAGTTTCCTGCTCCACTAAATCATACTCTAATAAATTATTGCGCTCAAAGTCCCAGCAGAACAGAGCTGAAATTGGGGTAAAATTGCTACTGGCTATCACCATGGCCAAATGGCTTCCCAGACTATTGCACTTTACCAGGATGAATTCTCCGAAGTCATCGAAAATGTCATGACCGGATTTGCTTGGAAAAAGGAGCTTAGGGTCGTGTCTCGAAACATCGTAAGCCTTAACGTAGCCATTCATGGTGAATACCGAGAGATAGCAGCCACTTAAATCCATACCGATGATTTTTCCTTCAATATCGCTGGCTTGCATGCGGTGGAGCACCACGCCCCCCACAGAGTAGACCATAATATCACTGCTCGCCAGGCAGAATATGTTCTGGTTGTATAGGTGCAGGGATAAACATTCAGCGGGAAAGGTCTGGAGTAGCTTCACACTCAAAGGAGTGCCTGTAGATGCCGATGTAGGCGGAGCACCCTCCACTGCCTCCAGAATCTCGTCAAACTCGTCCAGGCTCCTTTCCACTTTCTGCAGACTGTAGGATGAGATGCTCCTGCCATTACTCATCACCAGACTTAATTCGTTCAAGGCCATGGCAGTCACTGCAAACTCCGATTGAACAGTGGTCTCCCGACCGCTGCAATGAGTCAACTGCACCGACTTGGCCGACCCCTGAACTGCCCAAAGTTCGCGGGTATAAAAGGCCAATAAGGGTTGCTCCTTTAGCATGAAAACATTGGACAGACAGTTGACCAGCATGCAGGGCTTGGCCAGTTCATTAAATCCCCACTCACAGCTCCGTATGGCTCCTCTCACAGATGATATGTTCGTCAGCTGCCATGCGTCTTCGGGAGCACTAACTAGTCGGCTGCCACTTCTCTTCCAGGTAAAGAGATTTCCCAGGGAGGTTCCCGCACACAGAGTTTGGCCCGTAGAGCTATAAGCCAAACAGGTGAAAATTTCGCCGCTAATTTGACCGTACTTCGGTGTCTTGCGGGGCACACTGCTGCTTTCGGTGCTGCTCTCATGGCTAAAGAATTGGTTTGACGACGATATGGTGCCATTACTCAAACTGGTCAAGGATGAACCGATCTGGTTGCCACTGGGAAGATCCATTTTCAGGAGGTAATTGTCACTCCTTTCGATGTCCCAAATGCGTACAAAAAGATCACCTAAAAAGTACACTTTAGTTTAAAAGAGTACGGGCCAAAATACTTCTCATAGCCCACCTGTAATGATGGCCAAAGAGTTTCCAGACCAGGCGATGCCTCCCTGTCGGCCTCCTCCACGTCCGCTCATCTTAACGCGGTCCAGTTCCGTGAGAATGCCCGTGGATTCAACCAAAAACAGAGTGACAGTCAAGTCCTCCATCAGGCAAATAACGGCGTCCCTAAAAGTGGTTAAAGAAATGGCTTAAATATATATTACATTTTCCGATTTAGGCAGTGTCTTACTTTTTGGGGTGCCACAACATCTGGACAATGGGCGGTAGGGATCCGCACTTCATCACCTCAACGCAGGCGCCTCCTTGATTTATGTAAAACACAACCCCTCCTTGGGTGCAGGCGTAGAAGCAATGATTGTCTCTCACCCCAGAATGTGTCATACTCCGGGCTGCAGTTCTTGGCCTCCAATTGGTTAGGGTGTCCAAGGCATTCTCATCACCGGCCACCGCTGCCTTGGCGAGATTAGCCATCTCCTCGCGAACCTCACTCTCCACCGTTCGTCGAAAGCAGATCAGCAGCAGTACCTCCCGCAGATCGTGGGAAAACATGGTCAAGAACTGGTACTGGCCGTCGCAGCGCCATCCCGTCACCAAGCCCATGGCATCCGCCGTAACCATGCGTCCGCCCTGTTCGCTGAACTGCAGCAGAACAATGGCCGCCTTGTGAGGAGCGTTTACGCTGGCAAACTCCCTGTGTCCGGCAAACCACACGTGTATGTCCCCATGCTCCCAGCCACTCGCCAGGAGAGCCTTTTCCGGATGCCAGCACATCGCTGTGGCCTGAGAAGTGGCGTGCACCGGATAGGTGACATCCCGCTGCGGCTCACCCTGTATAAAAAAAAATTTCCTGATTATTTTATTGTGGGTCATCGGAAACTTAAAAAATAACTGACATGCAAATGGGTCAAAAATTGGAACAACGGTAAAATGCAAATTTTTAATGCAGATTTTTTGAGAATCAAATTACGAGTCTTAAGAGATATGCCACTTTCAAATCGGATAAAATTTGGTAAAGATATGGGGTCCGGAAGTCCAGGTGTGGGCCACCTCTTAACAACACATCGGAAACTTGGAAATAAATGACATGAAAATGGGTCAAAAATTGTACCAACGTTAACTTGAAAATTTTGAATGCAGATTTTTTGAGAATCAAATTACGAGTCTAAGGAGATATGCCACTTTCAAATCGGATAAAATTTGGTAAAGATATGGGGTCCGGAAGTCCAGGTGTGGGCTACCTTTTAACAACACATTGGAAACTTGGAAATAAATGACATGAAAATGGGTCAAAAATTGTACCAACGTTAACTTGAAAATTTTGAATGCAGATTTTTTAAGAATCAAATTACGAGTCTAAGGAGATATGCAACTTTCAAATCGGATAAAATTTGGTAAAGATATGGGGTCCGGAAGTCCAGGTGTGGGCCACCTTTTAACAACACATCGGAAACTTGGAAATAAATGACATGAAAATGGGTCAAAAATTGTACCAACGTTAACTTGAAAATTTTGAATGCAGATTTTTTAAGAATCAAATTACGAGTCTAAGGAGATATGCCACTTTCAAATCGGATAAAATTTGGTAAAGATATGGGGTCCGGAAGTCCAGGTGTGGGCTACCTTTTAACAACACATCGGAAACTTGGAAATAAATGACATGAAAACGGGTCAAAAATTGTACCAACGTTAACTTGAAAATTTTGAATGCAGATTTTTTGAGAATCAAATTACGAGTCTAAGGAGATATGCCACTTTCAAATCGGATACAATTTGGTAAAGATATGGGGTCCGGAAGTCCAGGTGTGGGCCACTTTTTAACAACACATCGGAAACTTGGAAATAAATGACATGAAAATGGGTCAAAAATTGGACCAACGTTAAAATGAAAATTTTGAATGCAGATTTTTCGAGAATCAAATTACGAGTATAAGGAGATATGCCACTTTCAAATCGGATAAAATTTGGTAAAGATATGGGTCCGGAAGTCCAGGTGTGGGCCACCTTTTAACAACACATCGGAAACTTGGAAATAAATGACATGAAAACGGGTCAAAAATTGTACCAACGTTAACTTGAAAATTTTGAATGCAGATTTTTTAAGAATCAAATTACGAGTCTAAGGAGATATGCCACTTTCAAATCGGATAAAATTTGGTAAAGATATGGCGTCCGGAAGTCCAGGTGTGGGCCACCTTTTAACAACACATCGGAAACTTGGAAATAAATGACATGAAAACGGGTCAAAAATTGTACCAACGTTAACTTGAAAATTTTGAATGCAGATTTTTTGAGAATCAAATTACGAGTCTACGGAGATATGCCACTTTCAAATCGGATAAAATTTGGTAAAGATATGGGGTCCGGAAGTCCAGGTGTGGGCCACCTTTTAACAACACATCGAAAACTTGGAAATAAATGACATGAAAATGTGTCAAAAATTGTACCAACGTTAACTTGAAAATTTTGAATGCAGATTTTTTGAGAATCAAATTACGAGTCTAAGGAGATATGCCACTTTCAAATCGGATAAAATTTGGTAAAGATATGGGGTCCGGAAGTCCAGGTGTGGGCCACCTTTTAACAACACATCGGAAACTTGGAAATAAATGACATGAAAACGGGTCAAAAATTGTACCAACGTTAACTTGAAAATTTTGAATGCAGATTTTTTGAGAATCAAATTACGAGTCTAAGGAGATATGCCACTTTCAAATCGGATAAAATTTGGTAAAGATATGGGGTCCGGAAGTCCAGGTGTGGGCTACCTTTTAACAACACATCGGAAACTTGGAAATAAATGACATGAAAACGGGTCAAAAATTGTACCAACGTTAACTTGAAAATTTTGAATGCAGATTTTTTGAGAATCAAATTATGAGTCTAAGGAGATATGCCACTTTCAAATCGGATACAATTTGGTAAAGATATGGGGTCCGGAAGTCCAGGTGTGGGCCACTTTTTAACAACACATCGAAACTTGGAAATAAATGACATGAAAATGGGTCAAAAATTGGACCAACGTTAAAATGAAAATTTTGAATGCAGATTTTTCGAGAATCAAATTACGAGTCTAAGGATTTATGCCACTTCCAAATCGGATAAAATTTGGTAAAGATATGGGGTCCGGAAGTCCAGGTGTGGGGCACCTCTTAACAACACATCGGAAACTTGGAAATAAATGACATGAAAATGGGTCAAAAATTGTACCAACGTTAACTTGAAAATTTTGAATGCAGATTTTTTGAGAATCAAATTACGAGTCTAAGGAGATATGCCACTTTCAAATCGGATAAAATTTGGTAAAGATATGGGGTCCGGAAGTCCAAATGTGGGCCACCTTTTAACAACACATCGGAAACTTGGAAATAAATGACATGAAAATGGGTCAAAAATTGTACCAACGTTAACTTGAAAATTTTGAATGCAGATTTTTTGAGAATCAAATTACGAGTCTAAGGAGATATGCCACTTTCAAATCGGATAAAATTTGGTAAAGATATGGGGTCCGGAAGTCCAGGTGTGGGCTACCTTTTAACAACACATCGGAAACTTGGAAATAAATGACATGAAAACGGGTCAAAAATTGTACCAACGTTAACTTGAAAATTTTGAATGCAGATTTTTTGAGAATCAAATTACGAGTCTAAGGAGATATGCCACTTTCAATTTGGATACAATTTGGTAAAGATATGATGTCCGGAAGTCCAGGTGTGGGCCACTTTTTAACAACACATCGGAAACTTGGAAATAAATGACATGAAAATGGGTCAAAAATTGGACCAACGTTAACTTGAAAATTTTGAATGCAGATTTTTCGAGAATCAAATTACGAGTCTAAGGATTTATGCCACTTCCAAATCGGATAAAATTTGGTAAAGATATGGGGTCCGGAAGTCCAGGCGTGGGCCACCTTTTAACAACACATCGGAAACTTGGAAATAAATGACATGAAGATGGGTCAAAAATTGTACCAACGTTAACTTGAAAATTTTGAATGTAGATTTTTTGAGAATCAAATTACGAGTCTAAGGAGATATGCCACTTTCAAATCGGATCAAATTTGGTAAAGATATGGGTCCGGAAGTCCAGGTGTGGGCCACCTTTTAACAACACATCGGAAACTTGGAAATAAATGACATGAAAATGGGTCAAAAATTGTACCAACGTTAACTTGAAAATTTTGAATGCAGATTTTTTGAGAATCAAATTACGAGTCTAAGGAGATATGCCACTTTCAAATCGGATAAAATTTGGTAAAGATATGGGGTCCGGAAGTCCAGGTGTGGGCCACCTTTTAACAACACATCGAAAACTTGGAAATAAATGACATGAAAATGGGTCAAAAATTGTACCAACGTTAACTTGAAAATTTTGAATGCAGATTTTTTGAGAATCAAATTACGAGTCTAAGGAGATATGCCACTTTCAAATCGGATAAAATTTGGTAAAGATATGGGGTCCGGAAGTCCAGGTGTGGGCCACTTTTTAACAACACATCGGAAACTTGGAAATAAATGACATGAAAATGGGTCAAAAATTGGACCAACGTTAAATTGAAAATTTTGAATGCAGATTTTTCGAGAATCAAATTACAAGTCTTGGGAGATATGCCACTTCCAAATCGGATAAAATTTGGTAAAGTTATGGACTCCGGAAGTCCAGTTTTGGGCCACCTTTTAACAACACATCGGAAACTTGGAAATAAATGACATGAAAATGGATAAAAAATATGACCAACGTTGAAATGAAAATTTTTAATGCAGATTTTTTGAGAATGAAATCACAAGTTTTTAGAGTAATGTTACATTGAAATCGGATTAAATTTGCTAAGGTTATAAACTCTGGAAATCAACTTGTGAATGAATTTTTTTACAAATCATTTGAAACTTTGAAAAATCGAACGTGACGAATATTGGATACATTGGCCATGATTGGTTTAAAATCTGGGACGTATGAAAAGTCTTAAGTTCGGATGAGTTTTTAGCTTAAATCCTATCAGAATCAATAGAGTTAAGTCTTCAGAAAAAACAGGCCGTCTTCTGTCAACCGGTGTGTTACATTACAACATTTTTGGGAATATATCTGTGACTCTTTGAGAAAGGGATTTCCACAAAATTTACTCACAGTATCCGCAAAAATGGTCACGGAACCGCCTCTTTCGGCGCTAAATGAAGCCACTGCAAAGAGCGGTTCGCTGGGATGCCAACTGCTGATGGTGCTGACTGCATCCGAATCCAGGAATTCTATTTTTGTGTCGAAATACAGTGTCATCTCAATGGTTTTCTCTCAAATGGTGCTGAAAATAACCAAAACACTGTGAAAAAATTGTTTCTTTAGCAACGGTTGTCATGGTTGCCCCAAACAAACGGTTAAAAGCCGGTTCTTGGGGTGTTCAAGGCGATGCAAGGAAGTGCAAGTAAATAGACAGTTTTATTTCACAATTTTTTTGTTTTTTTGCTTTGCTATTTGAGTCCACCACTTATCAGAATTACACGACTGCAATCACACTTACCGGCGCCTCGTGTACTTCTGAAAAAAGACAAGATTAGCAAGACAAATTTAAATAAATATTAATATTAAATTGCGCCAAATTTTCGATAAATTACATTATAGGAAAAGCTCTATTTATCGTCCTCCCTTTTAACATACACAAACTAAAATTTAGAAACAAGCCCCAAAAAAGATAAATTATACATAAACATACTGAGATATAGAAACAAGCCCCAAAATAGCTAAATTATTCATGAAAAATAGGAAAGTATGGGGAAAATTAGCTCAAAAGAATTCAATTCAAAGAAATGAGTTGCAATAATTTTACATTAATCTTTTCGTTTAGCATTAAGTTGTGTTTTATATACATATATAAAAATATTCAAACATTTGGCTTGGAAAGGGCTAAATGATCACCTCTGGAACTTACCCATACAATGAGACGTCGCGTATTCGCCCCGTGCACACGCAACACTCGCGCATTGGAATGAAATCACCGGCAAACAAAACGGAGAAAACAGAACGTTGGCCGGTACTACGACTCATTTACAGTGCGAACTCCGACAATGGCTGATCGTCCGTGTGCTGGAAACCTTCTTCGTATCGCCGGGGCCGTGATCCTGCCCAATCTGGGTGGGATCTACAACGGGCGGCTGACCAGGCAGCACATCCAAAACTGGTACGCCCACCTGAAGTTCCCATCCTTCAAGCCGCCAAACTGGGTGTTTGCTCCGATGTGGACCTCCCTGTACGCCGGAATGGGCTACGGATCGTATCTGGTGTGGCGGGACGGCGGAGGATTTGGTGGCGAGGCGGCCAGACTGCCGCTCATTGCCTATGGAACACAACTGGCCTTAAACTGGGCGTGGTCGCCCATATTCTTCGGGCAGCACAACATTAAGGGCGTGAGTACTGATGATATCACTACCACTGGGTGATATATTTAATCCATTTCCTCCATTAGGGGCTTATTGACATAGTCGCACTGACGGCCACCGCTGGAGCGTGTGGAGTTCTCTTCTACCGAGTGAACAAGGTCGCCGGATTGCTCTTTGTCCCCTACGTCGCCTGGCTGGGATTCGCCACTGCGCTGAACTATGCCATCTGGAAACTAAATCCTGAAAAGAAGCAGGCGCCGGAAGAGGAGGAGAAACCCTCCGTCAGTACCGGCAAGGCCGACTAGCCCCGAAAGCCTCTAAATTCAATAATTTTAAGTTTCTTTAATACGAAATGTAATGCCTTTAGAAGTTATCGAGCCAGGGCTGGTCTATTTGGATAAGATATCGATAAATCATGTATTAAAGTGAGCGGACAAATCAAAATATGTTTAATCCAAACTTAAAATTCTGATCTAAATGATCTGTTAATTAATTATAAAGGAAAAACTGTTATCCCTAATAACATAATAATAAACAAATTTATTGTCGATATATTAGCATGAGTAAGTATTCCTTTCGTGAATGTAAGCAATTAACTATACGTTTTTCCTTTCCTTGTTTTGCACTTTAGCACAAATACAATATAATTTTCTTAGTAAAAAAAACACAAAGTTTTGTCTTGAATTGGTAGTGAACTTTACATTCGAAATAGGTCTGTATTTTAAAACCATGATTCACATTTTTTTGGGAACAGATCGGACACCTCTGGCTAATATAATTGGAAAAACTAAAATTTTAGTCAACCGTCACGGTATATATTTGTAGATAGCATCTGGACCGGTTTTCCGCCTCATTAGGAAAACAAGAAGATATCCAATACTTTGTAATCTTTATATATAGTATGCACCACCCGAGTGCTGAGAAATATTCCTTTTGACTTGATATATGACCATGCCGTTTAGTTGAAGATGGCCGAATAATGATTATAATTCAAATAAAATAACCAATCTAATAAGGAAATAAGTCACATGTTTACCATTTTGTCTAAGACTGTTCATAATTTCAGTTGACATACTATTTTTTTTTGAAAATTACAAATTTATTCAAAAATATAATAAGCACAATTTATCAAAACTTTTAGTACCAGGGATTAATAGATAATATTTTTAAACGAAAACTGAGTGTGAAAATGCGTGTTAAGTTTAAAATGCAAGGGAGCCGATTGAAAAAGAGATTAAAGATGGATCAATTAGGGCCTCCAGGAGCGGATGAGGGGTTGGGAGGAGTTCCGGCCTTCGGAGAGGTAGCTTTCGGGGAGCCTGCCGCCTTTGGAGAGGGCGTAGTCTTCGGGGAGTTCGCCGCCGGCTTCTGCTGCCCTCCAGCTGGTCCTGCTTGCTTGGGAGGAGATGCCTTGTTGGCTGCTTTTCCCTGCTGCTGTTGATTTGGTTGATTTGCCAGGTTGGGTGCTTTTGGAGAAGCGGGTTTCCCTGTAGCCTGGGCTGGCTTTGGAGCCACTGCCGGCTTGGCATTCGCATTAGGATTTGGCTGCTTCTGCTGAGGCTTGCTTCCCCCTGATCCACCTGCTCCTGGTGATTGCTTCTGGGCCTGCTGCGGCTTGTTGGCTGGTTGCTGTTGCTTTGCCTTCTGTCCCGCTTCCGGCTTCTTAACATTCGCTTGAGGAGTCTGTTTCTGGGGCGGAGTACCTCCTGCAGGCGATGGCGGAGTCACGGCGGCGGGAGATGGCGGAGTCACAGCCGCTACAGAGGGAGGCATGGAAGTGGGAGTCGATGGTGGCGTGGAGGGGGCCGCTGGGGACGGGCCCTCTGCAGGAGTTGCAGATGCCACTGGAGCTGGGGGCGTCACTGGCTTGGTTGGTGGAGTTGTCTCCTTCCTGGGAGCAGCTTTAATTTCTTCAACAGGCTTTGGCGTCTCGGCTGTCTTCGCAGGAGCAGCTGTAGCTTGATCTTTAGGTTGTGGTGGTGCCTGAGAATTCTGTACGTTGGCAACTTCTGGAGGTGGAGGTTTTGCGACTTCTGGAGCTGGAGCCTTGACAACCTCGGCAGCACTCTTCGCTGTTTCTGTAGCTTTGACTGCCTCGTGTGCAATTTTTGGGGCTTCTTCTGGTAAAGTGATCTGTTTGGCTGGTGGCGGAGTCTTTTGTTTTAGTTTCTCTGTTGATTCCTTGGGCTTATCCTGAGAATTCTTTGGAGGAGAAGGTCTCTTGGGTGGCTCAGCATTAATGACTACAGCACTCGATGGTTCATTTTTAGCTGGAGAAGGCAACTCCTTTGGCTGTTCTTCAATTTTAGCAGCCGGTGCAGCTTCGACGGTTGGTTTCGCGGAAGGTGTTGCCTGCTTTTGCGGCTCCGAGGCCACAATCTCGGCGAGAGTCTGGATAGCAGGAGGAGTTGACGCCTTCGCGGGAGTCTCTGAAGGAGTTGGCTTAGGTGGTTCTGGTTTTTGCTCCGTGGATTTTTCTTCAGTCCTTTGTTCCGCCTGCTTTGGTTGCTCCACCTTCTGCTCAGTGATTTTGAATTGGGTATTCAGATCTATTTGTTGTCCAGTTGGTTTTGGCTGTTCCACCTTTGGTTCATTGGCTTTAAGCTGGCCAGGCTGCTTTGATTTTTCAAGCGTTTTTTCTGCCGGCTTAGGTGGGTCTACCTTCTGCTCAGCGGGTTTAGTTTCAGTATTCTGTTGGTTTTCAGTGGGTTTAGACTGCTCCGCCTTTTGCTCCACAGGTTTGATTTCAATTTTCTGGTCAATAGGTTTGGCCTGTTCCTTCTTCTGTTCCGTCTCTGGCTTCGGAAGATCCTGATCTGGAGTTCCCGCAGCCTGTGTGCTTCTCTGGTCAATAGGTTTGGTCTGTTCCTTCTTCTGTTCCGTCTCTGGCTTCGGAAGATCCTGATCTGGAGTTCCCGCAGCCTGTGTGCTTTCTTTGGTGGTCTGAGGAGCTGACTGTCCCTTGGCCTGATCTTTATTCTTATTCTGCTTCTCTTTGTTGCCCTGCTGGTCGTTCTTCTTGCCATCCTTGCCCTGACCTTTCTTAATGTCCTGTTTTTCTTTGGGTTTCTCATTTGGCTTGGTAGTCTGTGGTGTTTTCTGTGGCTGCTTTTGATCCTTCTTGGGCTGCTGCTGCTGCTGTTGCTTATCCTTTGGTTTATTCTCCACAGATTCTTTTGGTGCCTGTTCTGGCTGTTTTGTAGCCTCCACCTTAGCGACCTCGTCGAAATCTCCAACGAGCAGGGGAACGTCATCATCCTCCTCGGCTGGTATAGGTTCTTCTGCGCCTCCTGGACCGCCCTTCTGATTGTTCATGGCGTTGGCATACATCCGCAGTTGGACGACCGTCTCCTGACCCAGCTGGGGAAGAATGTCGGGCAACATTTCGACCACTTTCCGGGTTTCGCCGTGACCCGTGACGGCGAAGGTGTTGGCCGAGAGCGAGGCCTGCGCCTTGGGGTTGTTGAAGTGAATCACGGTCAAGTCGTCCTTGATGATGTTGACCTCCTCAATGCCCGGGATGGTGCTCACCGACAGCTTCTTAAGCGAGCTCTGCAGCTTCTTGTCGTCGGTGGCCGCTGTCTGGTGCATGACCTTCTTCTTCCGGCGGGGCGTGCCCTTGCCGCCGATCCGTACCTGCGCCTGCAGGCGCTTCAGCTTCTCCACATTCATACCTTGCAATCTGGCCGGACAAACGGGTGTTAATCTCAAGTATATATTACATAAAACGGGCAGGAACTCGCCTTAATCGATGACCAGCTCTAGAGACACGATGTGCAACTCCACGGGCGAATTCACGAATGCAGTAGACAGGCCCACTATCCGCCAGTAGAACCACCCGAATCCAACGCAGCAGCAGCGCTGCTTTTATTAATATCGTGCGGCCTGCTCTTTTTTTTGCACATTTTTATGTGTTTTCGCAAGCAAATCGGGGAGAAAACAAGAAAAATGTCGCCCCAGTGCTTAAAAATAGCTCCACATTTCCTACACCAGCCGATGGCCGGTGCTTTTGGTTTGCTTTGCTTCAGTTTAGTTTATGCGGATTCTCGGCATGAGGCTGCCCAAGCGGCTGTTGAACCGCAGACGCCTCTCGGGATGCGAACGGTTGGATGGGAGTGGGACTGATGACGGGGCATAGGATGGGATGAGTCCCGAAAATAGACTGGGCACTTTTCTCACTGCCAGTTTCGCTCGCAGAATCACTTGAAATGTGGGATGTTTGATAAGGATTGCCTTCGATGGCGGAATGATTTGTATCGTATTATGTCTTACAATAAACATACTTTGTGGATACTGTACAAACCATTTCGGATATAGTAATTATGTATATATATGAATGTACCTGACCTTCATGACCCCGGTCATTCAGCATTGCTGAATATATTGTAGACATCTTTTAAAGAATGATAAATACTTGTCAATTTTATAACGGTGTGTCACTGAAATCTCCTACTCTTGTGTGTTGGAGGAGAACATCAACTCATTGGCAAACCCCTTCCAATTATTCTAAAAATGGACTTGCAGAAAAGTCACCTAAAACCTGAACTTCTTATCCCATAATTTTTCTTACAGACATCCAATTTCAAAATGGCATAATTTAAAATGACTGTTCTTTAATCCTCTTAAAATTTGCGTACTCATCTTGATTTGTAAATTTGGGTCAATTTTTCGTCATTTTTATAATTTTTGAAAAATTTGCGGAAAAGTGACCTCAAACCTGCTCTTCTAAGCCCATATAATTTCTTACAGACATCCGAATTTAAAGTGACTCACATACTTCTAATAGATTGTGGCTTAATTCTCTAAAAAAAATGGGTTTTCCACTTGTTTTGTATTTTGGGGTAGATTTTTCGTTAATTTTACGATATAACCATTAGAATATTCAAATATTCTTAGACGGAAATCCGTTAACTCTTAAAACGGTCACACTTGTCCCATCACCTGTAGATCAGCAGGCGTGCTTTTGATTTGTTTTGATTTGATTTCGATGTTGCTCCGGAGATGCTTTCTGTTTCCGTTTCCCGAAGTCCGGCTGGTGCGCCGGGCTCTGCACATCGTGCTCCATCCGGAGATCCGGCAGGCGCTGCAACACAAAAAGCCGGTGGTGGCCCTGGAATCCACAATCATAACCCACGGAATGCCGATGCCGGAAAACGTTCTTACGGCGCTGGCGGTGGAGGAGCAAGTCCGCCTTAACGGGGCTACACCCGCGACCATTGGGATTCTGGACGGGCGGATCAAGGTCGGCCTTACGCCCGAGGAGCTCAACACGCTGGCCAAGAAGCCCAGGGATCAGGTGATCAAGTGCTCCCGGAGAGACCTGCCATTCGTGGTGTCCAGAAAGCAGAGTGGCGGCACCACAGTAGCCGCAACCATGCTTATTGCCCACCGCGTGGGAATCCAGGTGTTCGCCACAGGAGGAATTGGCGGGGTCCATCGCGATGGCCACGAGTCCCTGGATGTTTCCGCGGACCTCACCGAGCTGGGTCGCACTCCGGTGGCCGTGGTTTGTAGCGGCGTCAAATCCATCCTGGACATTCCCCGAACGCTGGAGTACTTGGAGACGCAAGGCGTGTGTGTGGCCAGTTTCGAGAGTCCCGGTGGCGTGTTTCCGGATTTCTACACACGAGATAGCGGATGTACGGTGCCCTATAACCTCAATAGTGCAAAGGAGGCGGCGGAGCTGCTACGATCCTGGAAGGAACTAAAAATGGAGTCGGGGCTGCTTATTGGAGTTCCTATTCCTGAGGAGTTTGCTGCGGACAAATCCAAAATTGAGGACGCAATCAAGAAAGCATCTGCCCAAGCCAAGGCCCACGGAGTTTCGGGCAAGGATGTCACTCCGTTTTTGCTCGCCGCCATCGCCAAGATCACCGAAGGAAAGAGCCTCAAATCCAACATAGCTCTGATCAAAAATAATGCCAAAGTGGCTGCAAAAATTGCAGCTTCTCTTTGCGAGGTCTCCACAAATACCGAAAATCCAGAGCCAAAAACTTTCGACAGGAAACCTCTGGTTGTGGGAGCTTCGATTTTGGATCTCTCTTTTACAGTAGACGACCATAATCGCGACATGAAGCTGGATGGAGCCACATACTCAGCAGTCGCTAAACAGGCAGCAGGTGGAGTGGGTCGGAACATCGCGGAGGGCATTTACAAACTATACGGTGATGTGAACCTGATTTCCGCCGTGGGCAACGACCAGATGGGCCAAACGCTGCTCCAGATGATGCCAAAGGCGCTGAAGCGGGGTCTAGTCCTGGCGGATAGCCATAGTACCTCATTGTGCTCCCTGATCTTTGATAAATTTGGGGATTGTAAGCTGATCCTGGGCAACATGGAAATTCACCAGAGTATTACACCGGAAACCCTTCAGGCGCACCATCAACTCTTTCGGGAAGCCCCTCTCATCATCATGGATAGCAACATCTCGGAGCAGGCGATGGCCAGCATTCTGCATCAGGCCCAAAAAAACAAGATTCCCGTCTTCTTCGAGCCCACGGATATGTTCATAGCAGGGAAGCCGTTTAAACTGCTGCCAGAGCTGACCAAAAACATACGCATGATAAAACCGAATCTCGAAGAGTTAAAGACCATCACGGAGGCTATAACCGGGCAACCTGTAAACTGGAGTCAAAATACAAAGCTGCCACAAGCGGACCTCCTGCAACAGGCGAAATCCATGATTAAGAAAATCGACTGCCACTTCAACTGCATCATAGCCACGTTAGGGGACCACGGGGTGCTCCTAAGCTATCGACAGGATGCGGACAATGATTCCAGACTGCTCTTGGACGTAAGCAAATCCACGCCGCCCCACTGCACTCGCTTCTATGCCGCTCCTATGGTTCACAACATTGTCAATGTCTCGGGAGCGGGCGATAGTTTCTGTGCGGGATTCATCACTGCCCTGCTGCGGGGGCGCATCCTAAATGAGTGCGTGGCCGCTGGTTTTGTGGCCGCGGAGAAGGCCCTGCAATCCGAGTCCGCAGTGCCTAGCACCTACTTCTCGAATCCAGAAACCTTTGAGAGCCGCTACAAGCAAACTGTAAAAATCATCCAACAGCAAAGCATTTAGATGAAGAGAACAAATGAATTTACTCAGGTCCTTTGCTTTATTCCTAAGTATTTTCTTAAAATATACAAGATGAAGTTGTCTAGTAGGCCCATCTGAAAGATGCAATTAACCAATTGAAATCGTTTAAGAAGTTCAGTTTTTACAACTTACAGCTTTATGACTTTGTCCTTGCCTCCAGAGGCTACTCGTGAGCCATCGGGCGCCCAGTCGACTCCAAACACCTCATCTGCATGCCCAGGTAGCTCCTGTGCCAGCTTCTTGCTCTGTACACTCCAAACTAAATGAAAGGGCATCGGTTAAACCGGACCAGAAAATATTCGATTCGGTATTTACCCTTTAGTGTAGAGTCCTTGCTGCCGGAAACTATCAAGCGGGAGTCCGCCGACCAGGCCAACGTGTAAACAGCCTGCACATGACCACGGAAGGTGGCTATGAACTGACCATCATGTGCCCGCCACAGACGCACCGATTTGTCAAAGGAAGCTGACGCGATCAGCTTCACATCCGGCGAATATTTCACATCGTTGACCACGTTCTGGTGCCCCGTCATGCGCTCCACACACTTGTTCTGGTTGTTGCGCCACAGATAGAGCGTGTTGTCATCTGAGCAGGAAACCAGGGACTCCACCTCATCTGGACAAACGGCTTGGTAGCGCTTCAAGGCGGACTCCTGGAGCTCTTCAGCTATAAAATAAAAATTTTTAGAATGATTTTATAATATTAAATTACGAAATAATCAAATTATTACTGCTCAGACTGAGGTGGCTCTTAGAGCGATCCTTGACCGGCTGGAATGGACCCGTACGCAGAACGTAGTCCGTGCTGAGTGCGATGTTGTTAACCCAGTGGGCATGGCCAGAGAAAGTGCGGCAAAGGATGCCATCGGCAGACCGCCACATCTTGACTGTGCGGTCTTTGGAGGATGTGTAAATAAGGCCCGCCCCTCCCCAGCGCACGGCTGTCACCGCATTCGTGTGACCAGCAATGTTCATCAAGCACTGGCCCAGTTTTACATCCCAGATCCGGCAGTCCCCGTCTCCACTGGCGGAAGCAAGTTTCCTGCATTCGGGATCCCGGTGATATGGCTCCCAGGCGAGACAGTTGATGTGCTTTTTGTGTCCACTAAGGGGGCGGCCTTTTTGTTGGCCTGTCTCTGGATCCCAGATGATTATAGAGCCAGCTTTGCACCCACTGGCCAAGCGTTTGCCATCTGGAGCCCACGATACGCACAAAACCCACTGCTTGTGACCCGTGCAGGTGAAGTGGGGCGTCTCTGTAGTAAGATCCCACAGTCGCACTGTAGTGTCGCCACTTCCGCTGGCCAGATGAGCCCCGTCCGGGCTGAAATTCAGAGAAACAACTGCCTCTGCGTGACCTGGCATGGAACTCGTACATCTTGTCACCGGACGCACTTTGAAAACCGCCTGTGGCTGGTATACAATGTCGATTACGTTCTCCGTATCCACTGACGCCAAGTCCAGGGTGTCCTCTAGGCTCTTCTTGATCTCATCCTCGCCCACGAAGAACAGATACGGAGTGGCTTCCTCGTTTTTCAGCAGAGCGTTGCAAATCAGACCCAGTTGCTGGGAGGTAATTCCAGCTGGCAGGTCGATTGGCGGCCCAGCCTCTTCGCCCGTGTCCGAAATGAGCCGCGCCTGTATCGTGTGAGGCGTAGCCTGCGGCTCAGAGTCTGTCTCCATCTGCATTTTCTGTTTTTTGGCCAACATGTTTGCAGCAGCTCAATAAGTGGCCAAAACAAATATAAACACGTGCCGCGACTTGTCTGTTAGTGGTGAGCCAATCACTAAACATCGCACAGCTGGTCTCTTGCCAACTATCGATAAATTTTCCTTTTCTCGTAAAAATATTTAAGCTATTGGTAAAATAATTACTTAATATATATTTTACATCCCTTAAAGTTGTAATTGCTTAATCGTTGCTTGGTTGTTTGCCATCAGTTCCATACAGATTATTATTTATATTTTGGAGGAGCATATCTGTGAAAACCTGTGAATACTACAAGGGGTTTTGAGTTGCACAATTAAGTTTCACAAAGAACACTTTTAATAAATCCATTGGTTTTGCGAATAAAAAAAAATTATATATTTATGTTGCAATAGATATATTTGTATCTTTTAAGTTACAGTTTTAAGGTAGGTTTTCAGACCAATTTTAAAGTGGTAACCTGTTTTATGTCAGAAGTGGATTCTAATTTAATTATTTTCTGTAGCACCTTAAATAATTTGTTTTATTTATTTTAAGCTTATATTTGTTTTGCCTTTATTTAGTCATAGATTTATTTGAATTTGAAAATTATTTATGTTATGCAAAGATGTATTTGCTTACTATGATAAGCGAAATATTTTTGCTAGGTTCTAAGACCATTTCTAAAGTGGTAACCTGTTTGAGCCGAACACTGGATTCAAATTTGATGATTGAAGATATTTTTATTTTGACTTTATTTTGCATTAGATTTATTTTTATTTTTTCCTGAGTGATCTGTTGTTTTTGAAAAATAGTTATGTTATGCATAGATGTATATTTGCTTGCTGGGATAAGCGACAGTTTTCAGCTATGTTCTAAGTCTAATTCTATACTCTAATTTGATTCTTTTTTTTTGTAACTGTATACCTAATTTTGTATTATTTATTTTAATCTAATGCTTAATTATTTAAGAAGCATTAAATCTAGCTATTTTTATTATTAGCTATATTTATGTATTTCATCATATTTTGATAATAGCTACTGGAATTCGCACTGTCGAACTATCGTGGAAAGTCCGTCTCTAAGATCCAAAGATTTTCATGTACGCGTCTTGGTAAAATTTTGTAATAATGGAAAATATTCCGCGAACACATGAAGGTAAGCGAAATAAACGCATCCAACTGTTAACCACCGTCTCAGGGAACCTTGGGTCACTAAATTTACCCACGTAAAACACCCGCGCAAACAAATATGGAACCACCGGTTTTCTTGGCTGGTGGTCTCATTTAAAAATCAATTTATTATACAAATTTTTTCTCGCAGACATCGAGGCACAGATCAGCGTGATCCAGGAGAAGAAGACGGAGCTGGCCAAGACCACTGCTGCGGCAGCCGGCGTGGGATTGCTGGACAGCGGAGGATTTTTCGACAGCGACTTGTACGATGATGATGCGGGAAAGGGGAAGGGGCGCTACGAGGGCTACAATACCTCTATTGCAGCCAACGACGCCGAGGATCCGGACGAGGACGAGGACGATGGCTTTCCGGTGCCACAGAAACGCACCACCTACACGGCTCCTACTTCCGTACTGAAGGACGTGACCCAGGGCAAGGAGGATGTGGATCCCATGGCGGATCGCAGGCGTCCCACGATTGCGGATCGTGAGGATGAATACCGGCAGAAGCGTCGCCGCATCATCATCTCGCCGGAGCGAGCGGATCCCTTTGCCGAAGGCGGCAAGACCCCGGATGTTGGCTCCCGCACCTACACGGACATTATGAGGGAGCAGATGCTCAAGGGCGAGGAAACCGAGCTGCGGCGGCGTATCCTCGAGAAAACCAAGGATGGGACTCTGGTAAAGACCACGTCCACGTCGTCGTCTTCGAATGGTGAATCGGCTGCTCCTAAGGACGGCGGTAGGAAGCGAGGCAGATGGGATCAAACAGTCAGCGACAGCTTTATCCCGGCCAAGGTGGCCACGCCCAGCAGCGCCGCTACGCCCACTTGGGAAGATGTGAGTATTGAAAACAAAAATATATGTTCACTTTCAACGTTTCCGTCCAGTTACTTTAGTTATTATTATTCATTTTCTATATTATTAAATTTAAGTAAGTAGTATTAATTAAATATTCTCACGCAGAAAACTCCCGGAGACCACCGTTGGGATGAGACTCCAGGACACAAGGGCAGCGAGACGCCGGGAGCCACTCCAGGACTGGGCACACGCATCTGGGACGCCACACCAGCTCACGCCATGACCCCGGGTCATGAGACACCTGGACACGAGAAGTCGGCCCGGAGGAATCGCTGGGATGAGACGCCAAAGACAGAGCGCGAAACTCCCGGTCACAGCGGATGGGCCGAGACCCCGAAGCCCGATCGCACAGGAAGCGGAGCCGGCGGGGAGAGTATCTCCATCGAGTCCACTCCTGGAGCCTCAAAACGTCGTTCTCGCTGGGATGAAACACCATCGAATGCTACGCCTGCTATTACGCCCACAAATGCAAATGCTATGACCCCGAATATGACACCTAGTATGACGCCACACGCGACTCCCGGACATGCTACGCCTATGCTGACGCCAGGAGGCAGCACACCCATCGGAGTCAAGGCAATGGCCATGGCAACACCTTCGGCGGGAGCTCTGGCGGCCATGACGCCCGAACAACTGCAGGCCTATCGCTGGGAAAAGGAGATCGATGAAAGGAACCGTCCTTACACAGACGACGAATTGGACCAAATCTTTCCGCCTGGCTACAAAATTTTACCCCCACCCGCGGGCTATGTTCCACTCCGCACTCCCGGCAGAAAGCTGATGGCCACACCCACACCGATCGCTGGGACTCCAGCCGGATTCTTCATCCAAGTGGAGGATAAAAATGCTAAATTTATGGATAACCAACCAAAAGGGCAGAATCTGCCGTTTATGAAACCTGAGGATGCGCAATATTTCGACAAACTCCTAGTGGACGTCAATGAAGATGCTTTGTCGCCCGAAGAGCTCAAGGAGCGCAAGATCATGAAGCTCCTGCTGACCATCAAGAATGGTTCGCCACCCATGCGAAAATCAGCTTTGAGGCAGATTACAGATAAAGCCAGGGAATTTGGTGCAGGTCCTTTGTTCAACCAGATTCTTCCGTTGCTTATGTCGCCTACTTTGGAGGATCAAGAGCGACATTTGCTGGTCAAAGTAATCGATCGCGTTCTGTACAAACTCGATGATTTAGTGCGTCCCTATGTGCACAAGATTTTGGTGGTCATAGAACCGCTCTTGATTGATGAAGATCATTATGCTCGCATAGAAGGCAGAGAAATAATTTCTAATCTGGCCAAGGCTGCTGGTTTGGCCACCATGATCTCTACTATGAGACCGGATATTGACAACATCGATGAGTATGTGAGAAACACCACAGCGCGAGCCTTTGCCGTTGTGGCATCAGCTTTGGGTATTCCCTCCTTGTTGCCCTTTTTAAAAGCCGTGTGTAAGTCAAAGAAATCCTGGCAGGCACGTCACACGGGCATCAAGATTGTGCAACAGATAGCTATCCTAATGGGTTGCGCTATATTGCCCCATCTGAAAGCTCTGGTTGAGATTATCGAACACGGATTAGTGGATGAACAGCAGAAGGTGCGTACCATTACAGCCTTGGCCATTGCTGCTCTGGCGGAGGCAGCCACTCCGTACGGCATTGAATCCTTCGATTCCGTACTGAAACCTCTTTGGAAGGGTATTCGCACTCATCGAGGCAAAGGCCTGGCCGCCTTCCTCAAAGCCATTGGCTACTTGATTCCCTTGATGGATGCCGAGTATGCAAATTACTACACCCGTGAAGTGATGTTGATCTTGATCCGAGAGTTCCAGTCCCCAGATGAGGAAATGAAAAAAATCGTCTTGAAGGTGGTGAAGCAGTGTTGTGCCACCGATGGTGTGGAACCGCAGTACATCAAAGAGGAAATTCTGCCGCACTTCTTCAAGTTCTTTTGGAATCATCGCATGGCGCTAGACAGGCGCAACTACCGCCAGCTGGTTGACACCACCGTGGAAATTGCCAACAAGGTTGGTGCTTCTGAGATCATCAATCGTGTGGTGGATGACCTAAAAGATGAGAACGAACAGTACCGGAAAATGGTGATGGAAACGGTCGAGAAAATCATGGGCAATCTGGGAGCAGCTGACATCGATTCACGCCTGGAGGAACAGCTTATCGATGGTATTCTGTATGCTTTCCAGGAGCAGACCACCGAGGATGTGGTGATGTTAAATGGCTTCGGCACCATTGTGAATCAGTTGGGCAAGCGAGTTAAGCCCTATTTGCCACAGATTTGCGGTACGATTCTCTGGCGGTTGAACAACAAATCTGCGAAAGTACGTCAACAAGCAGCGGATCTGATCTCCAGGATAGCAGTGGTAATGAAAACTTGTCAGGAGGAGAAGCTAATGGGACATCTGGGTGTTGTGCTATACGAATACTTGGGTGAGGAGTATCCCGAAGTATTGGGTAGTATCCTGGGAGCCCTGAAGGCTATCGTAAACGTGATTGGCATGACCAAGATGACGCCTCCCATTAAGGATTTACTTCCCCGGCTCACACCAATTTTAAAGAATCGTCACGAGAAAGTACAAGAGAACTGTATTGACCTGGTGGGACGCATCGCGGATCGAGGACCAGAGTATGTGTCTGCTCGCGAATGGATGCGCATCTGTTTTGAGCTTCTGGAGCTGCTCAAGGCCCACAAAAAGGCCATCCGGAGAGCCACTGTCAACACCTTTGGCTACATAGCTAAAGCCATTGGTCCCCACGACGTCTTGGCCACTCTGCTGAATAATCTAAAAGTGCAGGAGCGGCAGAACCGCGTGTGCACCACGGTAGCCATCGCCATTGTAGCCGAGTCCTGTCGTCCTTTCACCGTGCTCCCTGCATTGATGAACGAGTACCGAGTACCCGAGCTGAATGTGCAAAATGGTGTCCTTAAGTCCCTCTCCTTCCTTTTCGAATACATTGGCGAAATGGGAAAGGACTACATCTATGCCGTCTGCCCACTTTTGGAAGATGCCCTAATGGATCGAGATCTGGTTCACAGACAAACAGCCTGCTCAGCCATTAAACACATGTCCTTGGGAGTCTATGGCTTCGGTTGCGAGGATGCCCTGACGCATCTGCTCAATTACGTGTGGCCCAACATATTTGAGACCTCCCCTCATCTTGTGCAAGCTTTCATGGACTCAGTGGATGGATTGAGAGTATCTCTCGGACCTATCAAGATCCTGCAGTATACACTGCAGGGACTGTTCCATCCCGCTCGCAAAGTGAGGGATGTCTACTGGAAGATCTATAATTCGCTGTATATTGGAGGTCAGGATGCACTGATTGCCGGTTATCCGCGGATTACCAACGATCCAAAGAACCAGTACGAGCGGTACGAATTGGACTATGCGCTCTAAGTTGAAACATCTAAATCAGCTAGCAATAAGATTCTTTAAGATAAAATTAAATAAATCTGAACTTTACCAAACAAGGACTTTAATTTAAATCTCTCATGTCTTAAATTTAGTTGTCATATCATGCAAACTTAAAGCATTACATCACATATATCTTCTTCTATTTATAATCGCCAGCTATTTATTATCTGGCATTAGATTAGATAGATTTTTTATTTAGTGTTAATATTTACTGTCCGTCTGAAGTAGTTACAAAGATAATGCAAAGTCGAATCATCGGGTAACCTACTTGGGTTTTTGACACTTCATCGGAAATAGTAATAATCATAATTATGTCATGCATCTGGCAATCCCTTTCACATCTTTGATTTGTAATTTCCCCAAAATGCAGCCCGCACCAAAGTACATCAAGAATATGTAAAAAACGGGGTTTTATTCTAAGTTTAGAGTAGCTACCCGACCCCTTAACAGGTGGGATACTACTGTGGACTAATCTTTTGGCTTAGGCGATAATACAAAAGTGTCTCACTGCAATGAGATTGGAACCGCTTCATCAAGTACATCTTTAAGTGGTCTTGGTCCCGTTACATAATCATCGGTGGAGTATTGATTGGACAACATCTATCAGGCTCTTCAGGCCGAACATGTAGTTCTCATCTGGCAAGGCCTCTTCCGCTGGATAAACATGAGCAAAGTCAATCATTTTGACCCGCACCCAATTGGTTGGGTGATCTTCTTTGATGTGGTGGCCATTGAGCAGGGACTGACACTTCGAGGATTGGTCCATTCTCGAGTAATCGTAGCAGATGAGCAAAGAGCTGGCATAGAAATGCAGCAAGCGTTGGCTATTAAACCAAGAGAGGATCTCTTGCAGCTGGCGCAGCACTTCTTTCAGGAGCAGCTCCGTTCTCGCTCTTTTGGTCTTGGAATCGCTTGCATTGAAGAACAAGACCATGGTCTGCTTGAAGCCTTCCACACTCAAGCTCTTTCCGTAGTCCTTTCCATGTCGCAGGATTTTTGTTTCCTTGGGGTGCTCATTTTCTTTGGGAAGATACACCTGAAATCCGGGCAAGCAAAGGCCCAGCTTTTGCTTGCACATTACGTACTTCGCCTCCTCCAGTTTCCGCTTGTTACGCGAGGATTCTGGATCCCAGGTTCGTTTACCCATTTTTACGTCCATGACGCATGGCTGGCTCATCCCACGCGTAAGGTCTTCCAGACGGAGGAACGTACGTTCCCGCTGATTCACAACCAGTTTCAGGGGGCCGTAAAATCGGGGGACGTGACCGCGGAGCAGGGCAAGGTCATTATCACCTGAAGCACCTGCCGCTGCGAGTGACTCATAAAAGCGCAGCTCCCGCTCGCCGCACTCCGGTTTTCCCATGGGTTTCAGCACGCATCCGGCAGTAGGATCCTGCAGTAGACCCACCGCCTCTGTGTTGGAGTCCTCGAATGTGTGGCCGGCCACCTGTGTCTTCAGCTGTCGGAATCCCTCAGGCATCGCCGGCTGGTTCCTAGGCGGTGGCAACTCCTGCTCCACATCCTGCTCATTCTTGGCCATGTGTCCTTTGTGACGCGGGATAGTTTCTTAACCGGGAGCAGCAGCAGCACCAGCGGCGGCGGCGGTGATCAGAATGCCTTTGCAAATCTCGCGCAGAAAATGTTGCGCGCACTTAATGCTGAATCAGTGATGGCAAGCCGGCTCACTTTCCGCCAGTTTTGGCCATTTTGCGGCGAGAATATGTTTTGTACTAAATATAAACATTATAATTTGCACAGCTGAATTTAGTTTTAATGCACATCTAGATTGAAGTTTGAATAATACAACGTGCCATTTAAAAATTTTTCTTTTTCTTTCTTCTCTTATTAAGTCGTAATGGATACCGAGCGCCACAGGTGGCAGCACTACAGTGTTGCATACAGCCGAAAAAGTAGTGCTGGTAAACGAACGTGTTCTTCTGATTGTTGCTAATGTTTTTTTTGGGAGTGGTTTTGTTTTGTTAATTTAACGCGTTTATTTACCTTCAGCTTATCTGGTATTTACCGATCGAGATTACTTAAGATATAACCGATGAAATCCTGGGAGATAGCCCTGGTGGCGGTTGCCGCAATTTACTTGTGCTCGCAAGGTGAGTCTTCAGTTTAGAAGCCCGAGTTTGGGCCACACCTAAATATTGTTTTGCTTGGTATAATTTATATAAATTATGTATTTTTAGTAAGCTTCGTTGCCGGATTGGAGTGCTATGTGTGCTCCAACCAGACGGGCAACACGGAAAAGTGCCTGAACACAATCAAGACTTGCGAGGCCTTCGAGAACGTCTGTGGCACGGAGATCCGTTGGGGATCCCAACCGTACTTCTCTGAGGGAGCCCTGAAGCAGTATTACGTCTCTAAGAGATGCATGACTAAGGAGCAGTGCCAGTCCAAGAGGAAAAGATATATGCAGCTGTACTGCACCCACATCTGGTACGAGGATTGGGCCTGCAATGAGTGCTGTCAGGGAGATCGGTGCAACTACTTTGTGATTGTGGGTAGAAATGAAATAGTAAAGGGATAACTAACTAATCTTAACATATTACAGAGTGGTGCTCCCTCAAGAAAAGGATATGGAGTCAGTTTGACCCTGGCCATCACTCTTTTGGGCCTTGGAAATTGGCTCATTCAAAGTTCCCTAGCCTCGAAAGCTATTGGCATCCTATGAACGCTCCGTTGTATTAACCTGACAAATCCGTCCATAAGCTAAGTAGATTCCACCGTCCATTTGTTTAGTAAACCGTCCAAGTGCCTTGACCAGCCAGTAAGTTATGAAATCGTTCAAAGTACTAACTTGACGTCTTTGAAATTATAGAATATTTTACGAGTTACATTCTTATTCTTAATTGAAAACATCCTTTCATCCTGTAATGTATTGTCTTAAAAGATTTTTCCGTTCCATATTTTTCAAATCTGTTACATAAATTTGATTTAATTTAATTAGACTGCCTTGTTGTTTTATAGAGTTAAAATAATTAAGTACACCTGCACAAAATTCTACCTATAGATTTATCTAAAATATGACATATGACATGTAAAGCTCAACATATCATTATAATCCATGACTTATCTTATCTGTATGTGTCTTATAAATTACAACCTATTCCAAATTGAATCTACCGCCTGCAATAAAGCAATATTGGCGTCTTTTTGGCGCTTTAATAAACAAGTGTTTTAAATTTACACATCGGCAATTTCTTAAAACTTTTTAGTCACTTGGCGCAAAAGCAGCCGGCGTTTACTGTGACGGTTGTGAACTGCCACGTTTGCTCGTTGCTTATCCAGGAGTTGGGATGGTCTGAAGGTAAAACCTGTTGCAGTACCTTTACCTTGTACTCCAGTGGCCTGCAGTTAGAACCGTGAGTGCACTTGGCCATATTCCGTCCAGAACGCGATTCGCAAACAGCATTCATCAAATAGCGGGGAAAGTGCATGTTGCCCAAATCCTTGAGCTCGTTCTAGAAGATTGGAAAAAAGCTGTGAACATCCATTGGTGCTTATGGTAGCCCAACAAACCGTAACTTTGCAATCGCAGCCTGTGGAGTGGACATCGTTGCGTTTGGTGGTCAACAAATCCTCATAGAAATCGTTGTAATACATCGGCGGCAGCTGATGGGGCATCGCCATCGCAATCCCTGTGGGATGTGGAGTGCTGGGACCGAAGCCGAAAAGGGCACTCAGCATCTTTGACGTACTGCGATCGGATTGCTGCTCCTCCGCCTGCTGTTCCAGGCATTGCGGCTCGCAACCTTTTAGACCCACCATCTCGTCGAAGACTCCATCACTGGAGTATAGATTGGCGTATCCGTTATTTGTCAGGCTAAGTAGCGCCAGCGCAGTTATGGAAACGGACAGCTTGGGGAGGAAAGAGGTTGCTTATCCAACTATTTTCTGTGTTCTTTCTGTTTCCCTTTACCATCCATTTTACTTGAGATTTTATGTGTTTCCGATCACACATCAGAGACTTACCCACGGCATCCTGCTAGATCTTTGCATGACCAGCGCTGAACTCCTTTTGCGGCTCTGACCAAGAAGTCAACCACATTTATACCCATCCAGGACAAAGGCCGCCGCTCGGATTACCTTTTGTGGCCGAGATGTGTGGAGAGCAGCAGCATCCATTACGGTCCGTCACCTGGACAGTATGAAACAATGGGCTCAACTGTTGACGCCACAACAATGGCAAACCACGCCAGGCTCAAGTGGCCTGGCTGATGGGGTTGAGTCGCTTGGCTATTTATACTTTTTTCCGGCTTTCTATGGGGAAATGGCTTTAAGGCCTCAAGTGTCGGCAGAGGTTGAGGGTTCGGGTGTGGAAATGGGAGTGGGAGTACTCAAAGGAAGCCCACTGACCCAGACATGTGTACACTGGACACAGGCAAAGGACAATCTGCCTTCCATTCGATGACGTTGACCAGGGTGGGTTCTTGGGTTCCGAAATAGCTCCAAAAACGTTTTGCTGTAGCAAACTTTTGAGTAAGAGGGCTTGGTTTGAGTGGACTTCCGATTGGATTTCAATTTTTCGGAATTTCCCTTTGCAGAGGAAGCAACTTAATGGAGTGGGGTTAATTGGGAAATGTCAGTTCTTGGCTTTAATATAGCCATTTAAATAAATCTTGCATATCTTGGATTATATAAAGAGAAATATATGTTGTAAAAAGAAGGCTTAAAAGTTATACCTAAAAACGGAGTTTATATAAATTAGTGTAGTATGTTCTCCAGTTACATCCTCTGAGATCCGCTCCTGTCGCAAGCAACTATGAGCTCACATTTTGGCCAGCTTGGGTCAGGTGCAGCGCCTCTGGCATAACGAACCGCGTCCGGCTAGAACGACTGTCCATTAGGCTAGACCGGGTCAGACCTTTGCGCTATGGGGACTCTGGAGTCTATAGAATAGACCTCTACGCGTAGGGAACCCGCGAGTGTGTGAGGTGCAGTGACTATGGGCGACTTCTAGGGCTTCCGTCGACGGGTAGCACTGTCCGCTGTGGATATCCAAATCCTCCTCAGTCGAATTCGCGTCGTCGAGGCAAGAACATTGCCCGTGCTACACAGTTTGACATGCACAGCCGGACAATCTGACAGCCCCCGCCATCAAACTGCTAAAACCGAGTGTAAGAATACGGGAATTGCGGGGAGATGCTGCTTCCTCTGGTGGCGGATTTATGCTGAGCTCTGCAGCTGCATTCCTGGGGAGACTTCATCCGTTTTCGTCGTCATTGTTGTTGTACAGTTATTCCGCCGTCGAATTTTCTGAAGCGGAAAAGCGAAAAGAAGCATCGCCGCGAAGCCCTCAAAGTGTCGACGAAAATCGTTAAAAAATAGAAAAACACTCGGCGACTATGTCACGACGGGCTTGAAGACCCCCATCCACGCAAAGGAAGATATTGAGATTGAGCGAGATCCAGGCTACACCACAGCGGGCTAGTGCCCCTAACCACCTACTGCATCCGTCTATTCCCAACCACAGCTAACTCAGGATTCGCATGGACAAAGGCACAATGAAGCGCAAGCAGAGAAGATACAGGTAATATAAGAAATAAATTATTTGTAATGACTGACGACAAAGCAATAGTAAATACTTTAAGGGACTTAAAAAAATATATATATTTTATTTATTTTAATATATTATTTTATTTTAATATATATATTCTACTGTCTTACCGCCACAGGACCACATTCAACACACTGCAGCTGCAGGAGCTGGAAAGGGCATTCCAGCGGACCCACTATCCGGACGTGTTCTTCCGGGAGGAGCTGGCCGTTCGCATCGATTTGACGGAGGCACGGGTGCAGGTGTGGTTCCAGAACCGGCGGGCCAAGTGGCGCAAGCAGGAGAAGATCGTCGGTCCTGGCGGGGAGTACAAGGAGGGAGCACTGGATCTCGACGTGGCCTATGACGACAGTGCTGTGCTGGGTCAACTGGACAGTGCACTGGGTAGGAATCACAAAGGATTTGGCGGTGTACCTTTGCAATAAGTATAGCTTTTCTTAAACCCATTTTAGGTGGAGGTGGTACCCTGTTGCCGGATACTCCACCGCAATCCTCCAACTCCCTGGACAACGAACTCAAGGCTTCCTACGGCACAGGAGCCATGTCGCCCTCCCGACTGTCGCCGAATATTTTCCTTAACCTTAACATTGACCACCTTGGACTGGAAAGAGGTGGCAGTGGTCTCTCCATGGAATGGTCCACCTATCCACCCCAAACGCAAGCGCAGACACAACCGCAGATGGACCCAGAAAACCAACTTCAGCAACAGCACCCGCCACAACAGCTCCAAGCCCATCAGAATCCTCACCAGCAGCATCAGCAGAGCCAGCAGCAGCATCACCAGGGTCTGGAATTCGCCGCCTCCTTGAACCTGGACATGACCGATGGCTCCTCCGCCTACGATGAGATGAAGTTCCTCAGCGTGGACGTGGACCAGTTCACGATCGACAGCTTCAAGGCGGACTGCATCCTCAGTATGGAGCAGTCGCAAATGCAGTCCTACGTGGGCCACTCCCAGCTGGTTGGCTCCTCTAATGAACTTTGCCTGGAGGGGATTGGCATGTCCTCCTTTGGCATGGAAGAGGGCGACCCCAAGACGCCTCCCTCACTTTTGGTACTGGACAAGACGCTGCCCTCCTTGAGCATTGGCGTTGAGGGGATCGCTGATCTGGTGGAGCAACTGCATCATCACCATCACGAAGGCGGCTCAGTGGGAGCTGGTGTCATCACCAGCGATGTCTTGTAAATCCAAATTAGGTGAATTCTTTGCTTAGTTAAACATTGACTAAAATGAATCCAATCCTAGCTTTAATTGCAGACGCTCCATCTTTTATGTGGAAATAAAGGTGGATAGAGGGGAAAAATGAAGTGAGAAGCCTGTTCTAGTTCTATTATTGTTTTCTAGTCAATGTCGATAAGCCGTAGCCTAAGTTCATGACCAAATAAGGTCGCCACACTTTACAAAAAATATTTCGAAATACTAATCATTTTGGTAAATTTTATTGATTCTTTTTATGATTTATCGAGACATAGTTTTAAAATTTCCGATTTGGAAACGTTGCTTAGTTTAGGAGAATCTGTAACTTAATGAAAAAATAAAGCAGAACTTTAAGATTATAAAAAAGTGTTAAACACACGAAGAAACTAATTTGAATTGTTCACGAGGAAAACTGAAAACTGAAATAGTTATATTTTTAGGTTTTTTATTGATTACTATTTATTTCCTAAAACTTTAAGAAAATTCTGTTTCAGTGAATATCGCCATGAAAAATTGGATGTATGAAGAGTGGAATTTGAGTCCTTGGCTTCGAGTATGGCTACCTTTTCTGGCGAGGTTCTGTTTAAGCTTTTATGGATTCCGCATGTGTGTGCCTAACAATTGAATCCCCCTACGCTCCTGCCACGCCCCACCCTTCTGCACACGCCTTATTTGTGGCTCGGATTAGAGGCAAACTAATTGTGCGATTTGAATGGATTTCGGGTTTCGGTTATGTTTGTTCGGCAATAACATTTGCTTTGCTTTTTAACAATTGCCAAAGACCTTCTCTGTGCCGCTCTCCTGACTGTAGTTTCCATTTACTGTGATTAACGTTGGACCTGCAGGTCCTGAAACTAAGCAGTCTTAGAGAAGGACTCCTAAACTTTATTTAAAAGCCGCCTCGGCTTAGGAAAAGCTCAAAGCGATAAGGGCATAAGGAGGGTGGCAAATGGCGGAGTTGGTAAAGTTGGATTTAAATAATGCAGTAATAGACTTTTAAATTGTATTCAATGTGTTTTTAATAGCATATTTATAATGTAAATCTAATAAACAGTCTTTTTGTTTACATTTCTTTTTCAAAGAAAATTTAAAATCTAGAATTGGCTGCTTTCAATTAAAGAATATGACTTTAAAGAATGGCATACGTTAAAAAATAGCTTTTGTATACCCTTGTAATTTCAGTAAAAAGATCACAAAAATCATTTTTCATTGGAAAAATCGAAAAAATTTAAAAATTCAAAACAATTAAACTCGTCAGAATGATTTTGCTGACCAACTAATAATAATATATAATAAAAATACTGATCTTCAATTTAGAGTTCTGAATTGGCTTAATAACAATATTATGTTAAAAATTCGTTTTATATCTTTGGATGGATTTTTAGTAAAAGAGATTCTTGTGAGCACTTTTGTGTAAAGTTTCTCTTCAATATAAATTTAGAAAATATTTATAAGGGCTCGTACCAAATGTTGCTTAATCTTTTCCGGTATTAAGTCTTAATTAACATGGAATTTTAATAATATTGAATTGAAGTGAGGGTCACGTGAGGGTCCCTGGCTTGATTAAGACACTTCCTGGGCCGACAAAGCTCCAAGACTTAAGCCGAAGATTTTAAGAAGGTGGAACTGGGAAAGGCCCGTCAGAGGGAAAGATTGGGTGCTGGGGGCACCCAGCTCAGCTAGCTTAACACCTTGGCAAGCTCCTTGTGGATTTTGCGAGGCCAAGGGCCACCTAATGCCATCCTGCTCCCCAGTCCACCAGCAACCCCCTTTGTGGATGCTGTCAGCCATTTTGCAGCTGACAACGACGAGGACAATAAGCTAATTGAGGCTGAGGTGGATGTCGCAGCGGGCGGACAGGCCGCAGAATCAGATACACACCAGCACGCTCGGATGGCCAAAAAAGTTCATTATCCCCGGTCGAGGGTTGACGTTGACATGGCGGCCCTTGGATGCGGATGAGGATGCGGCTGGTTGCCATTGGATAATCTTTTGTTATGAGGCCGCGCAGCAATGCGTACTGAAATTCGGAGGTCTTTTTTTAAAAGTGATGAAATGGCGGATTTACTATCTTAACAAGACCTGGCAAATGGTAAAAAATAATATAAATAATTTTACAATATTTAAAAATACTAAGAAAAAAACCTTTCTTTGATTTATTGTTCTATAAATAAAAAATATTTGTATGTTGAAGTTCTCATTCAAAAGTTGTAAGCCTTAGACTCTAATCCTAAATCATTTTAACCTATAATAAAGAAATTTGTTTTCAGATCTCCAGCTTCTTTAAATCATATTTAGTTTCGACATAATTATTTTTTCTGTCTGGGCTAGACAGAAACTTTTTCTTACTCCTTGCTCTGACACATTTAAAATTAATCGAAAATCTTTTCTTCGGTATTATTACGAGCATTCGCCACTCGGGGCTGTGTGCACAAGGACCACAAACTTTAATCGATAGTCAAATAAGCGTCGGTTCCTTGTGAAGCAAGGGACAAGGATCAAGGGAAAGCGGGGGAGTTGGGAAGGGAGGTGGGTATATAAGGATATAAAGCATGAGTGTGTTATTAAGACATCCTGCGAGAGAGAGCTGAGAGCTGCTCCTTGCTCGGCTTTTGTGCTGTAATTTCTCTAACGTTTGTTTATATTTTATTTCGAATGCGCCCCGGGCCGCATAAACGCAATAATCGCACATTTTATGGATTAAACTCACCTGCTCCATCTGCTAATCTATGGCAGGATTCTTGCCAGGAGCTATGACATGGGTCGACCACCGGGACTGTTCTTATTGATGGATTTGATATGTGGAATTTTGTTGGTTTTGACATGTATACCTCAATTTCATATGACAATGGTTAACAACCGCGAATGATTTCCTTAAAAAACACCTTTAATTAGAATGGTTGTAAACATAATACATTTAATTATAATCAGTAGGATTTAAAATAATTTACTTTTTTCCTATGCACATATCTTTAAAATATGTTATAAGCAGTTCCTATAACAGCATCATTGCAACCTGAATCGGCTTTAATCCTTCCCCGGAGCAATGCTCTTCCAATGTCCCAACATAATTCCACTGCCGGTCCAATCCGTTCCCAATTAGTTTCCCCGACACTCATGAATCTCTCTAAATGAGTTATTCATTATGCATATGCATTCGATTTCCTGCCCACCTTCTCTACCGACTGCCAGGGCCATATTAAATAATGAAATATTAAAATCGAATGCGACTGAAATGACTTCTGGCCCCACGTCCGCGACCTCCGTGTTTCCGTTTGGATCACGAAGAGGTGTTCATGTGAATAAATTGCAATTAACAATATTTTTATTGCAACAAACGAAATGTCGACCTCCTCCCTTGGCTCCGTTAAACAAGGAAAAAAGCAGTCGGAGGGGAACGAGCTTGGGGGCAGGGAGGCAAACACATTTAATTAAAGGCAAATTTAATGGGTAAATATTTCATATGCTACATATACATACATACATACGCGGGTCAAAAAAATTGTCAAAAAAAACTGTATAAAAAACACGTTTACATTTTTTTGATCCGCATACAGTGCGTGAAATAGGTCTTTAAATAAATTTTTTTTTAATACAAAAATAGTTAATGCTCACACAAATAGATCAAATACAATACTGATAAAAAGACAACAAACCCAGATTAATTTCTCTGAGTTACAATTATTTTATATAAAAATTCAATCCTATCTCTATCTTGTGTTGACGAACTCAAAAAATGTTTTTTTAAAATATGTATATTACAAATTATGAGAATAACTTAGATTAAGATTTAAATACATTTCGTTCAACCTATTTAATACTAAAATTCTAAGAATATTTTAAAATTAGTGCAATGGAAAACTAACTAGCACATATAACTTTTAAACGCACCTTACCTATCGCTTAAAAGTTTTATTTTAAAATATGAAAAAAAAGCATTTACTCCTGTATGCGAGTAAATAGCAATGAACTGGTGAGCAGCGGGGAAATTGTGTCGGGGGAAGTGTATATTAAATTTCGTGTTGATACAGAACAAAAACGGAAAAAATTATGCGAAGCGTGCACTAGAAAAACAAAAGAAATACGAGAACGGTTTGGGACGGGGGGAGTGAAAAAAGAAATAAGAAAAATTAATAGAGTGCAAATATTTGTAGATTTTTACACGAACTATTAACGGGCAGCAAACAAAACCCGACGCAAAAACCAGAAGCAAGGATCCCGGATCCGGATTCGGGATTGGAGATTGCGGGTAACTCGAGATCATATCGTACGGGATGGTATATGGGCCTATGCAAATATAAGTCAGGGGAATGACAGAGCACAAAATGGTGACTCAGGAACAGAGGACCAAATAAAGAGGGAAAGAGCCAACTTAGGTCAAGATAGAATAAATTTGAATTTGAATTTTAGCTATCGAATCGAGTCGTCGAAGTCTCTCACCTCAATGGGCCTGAACTTGCAGCTCCTGCTCTGCCAAAAGGAAATAACAAGATGGAAACTTTGGCAAAGAAAAAAACACAACAAAAAAATGGGGAGAAAAACAAGCTGAAAAGGACACAATACAGTCCAAAGGAAACAATTTGTCAGTCAAATTTCGGGTGGCAGAATGCGAGGAAGCATAAAGTTGGGGGCGGTGATGTAAGTCGAACCGAGGACAATAATGACACTTCCCAAAATGAAATTAATTCGAATGTTTTTTTAACATAAAATATAAAGTACATTAAACAAGGATAAAAATAGATCTGAGTTCTTAACGTCTTGCAATAAATGTAAATAGAAATATTCTCCCTTTTCTCAATTCTTTAAGGCTATTTTAAAATTATTTATAATTTTAGTTTGTTAAATTGTTTAAGCTTAAACAATATTTTATTAGAGATGAGGTCATAAAAAGATTAACAAGGTTTATCCACAATTTTTGTTTTTTTAGTTTTAACCTTTTTAAATTTTTACCAACGGAAACGCATTGCTTTTGTATCTTTTTAACAAACTAGGTTACCTTTTTCTCTCTGTGCAGGGGATGATTTGAGTTGCTTTCCCATCTTGTTTTGGCACGGCCCCTGATTCGCAATGCAAGAATGAAAATGGCCAACAAAGAGGACATGCAGATACATCTGCCGCAGAGCGGAGAAGATGCAGATGCGGATGCATATAGCTTTGCCCCCCATCCACTTCCATTTGAGATCCTTTGTGTGGTCCGTGTCTGTCTGCAAATTGATTGGAGGCGAAGCCATTAAAGTGTCCATCGAAGCTGCTAACAGGCTGACCGCTGCCGCCCCCATTTTCGAAGCAGTTTTCCCCCAATTTTCCTGTCCCATTTGTAGTTATCCTCGGATCTCCTATTACCTGGAGTGGCAGGTGTGAAAGCCTCTCGCCGGGTCTTCCGACTTATCATACCAAGTTTCCCATCCAGAGCTAAACAACTTTTCTTGGCATTTTCATTTGACTTTTGGCGAGTTTTTTGTTTTATTTTCGGTTTTCAATAAGTTAGTTTTAACATTAGAATTAATCGTTGGAGGAATGACACTTAACTTTCGTCTAGTATGGTATGTTTCGCTTACTAATCAATACTCTTTAATGGATATTTGTTTATTAGATGCAATTAACTTTGGACTTGGACACAGGACACGAAACAATTAAGACAAAATGCATTCACACTTACATAGTTTAATACATACAATCGCGCACATACGTGTTTACATAAAATTAGTGACTGTACAGATTTTACTAAATATAATTAAGATACTATTCTAGTTCCTCTGGCGTTTCTTAGTTCTTTTCAACTTATAACTTAGTAACAAAAAATGTTCAAAAATGCTCTCCTTCTTGTCTATATACAAAACAAAACTTATCAGATAAGGGCCGATTTTGCAATGTCCTTTTAAATTTACTCCTTGAATTTATTAATTTCAAATACTCAGTCATGTAAACAATTCAGTAAATAAACAAGTTTGTTAACTCAATTAACAAATTTTAATTACCCTCAACAGATTGTAAGTAAATGCAGCTTGTACATCCAACAAATAAAAATATATATTTTTAATTGTACCAGTTAAATGATATAAAATAAATATATTTTTTAATTTAAATAAATTCTGAGCCCCGATTCGACATTGATCCACTGGCCCTAGGAATAATCCTACAACTTTTGGTTAACTCTGCATATATACACCCACTGCCAGGCCTCAGTTTAGGCCACTTCCAGATCGGAGGATTCGTCGGCGTCGCTATACCCATTCGGATCGCTCTTGATGTGCACTAATTGCGCTGAATAGTGATCGGATCCGGGGCATTTCACGGGTCCAGAACCATTTCCAGTGGTGCTGGTGGTGCCGGAACCGCTGCTGCCGTTGGTGGTGACGTTGGTGGTGCTGCCACATTGCTCTTCCTGTAACTTTCGCAGCCGCTCCTGCTCCTCACGTTTTTGCTTGCGCCACTTGGCCCGACGGTTCTTAAACCAAACCTGAAAAAATAGCATAAAAAGTAATCTGTTAATACGGGCAAATTCAAAACAGTTTTATTTATATTTGCTTATATATTATTTATTAATTTTAATTTAGAAAAATACATAAATACATAATGTCTAAATTCTTTTTACAAGCTTATAAATTGTAACAAACTCGAAGTTACTCAACTGTTTCGCTTTGCTAAATGGAATGGTTCAGTGGGCAGGTGACTTGGGTGATTGGGTGGCTACCTAGGTTACTCAAAAGCGCGGGGCTTCAAAAACACTTTCATCCGTTTTGCTCGGAAATTCTTTCTTCTGCCCCTTGGGTCTTCTGCTTATAAATATTTTAAGTAATTTTCGCCCCTCTCTCATTTCTTAGCCTTTCCAAGTCTTCGTTTCTCAATCTAGGCGTTTATCTTTTAGCCAGTTGCCAGGGACAGCAATCCTCCAACTCCCATTTCTCATATTTCTGGGCTTAATGAGATGACTTATTGTAATTGTAATTAATTGAGAATTCAGAAAGGTGTGAGTTCAAAAGGAAATGGAAAAAGCTGGCTAAAAATGTATGTTTTTCAGAGGAGGAATATATTAATAATAAAATCATTGTGTTATATCTAAATTGTTAAGTCACAGAAATTGTTTTAAATATTTATGTGCCACATTTTTTTCCCTTGGTAAATTCCCTACTTTTCCTAAAGCCGAAAAAGGTTGGATTTACCTGGAACCAATTATACTGCTGTAATTTTTGTGTTTCTGATAAGTCAGGTTAAAAAACCCTTATTTTTACCCCTGGAATTACTTGTTCTTTTTTGTCCTTTTAATTAGACATTGGCCACGCCCTTCGCGTCTGTGAACCCGTAAGGCTGGTCTACCCCACCTATAACCTTCAAAACCCCCACTTAACCCCTTTTTGGCCTCAATCTCCACCCTCTTCTACTTAGTTAATTAAAACAAAAGGCGGCTGTGAAGTGACTTAGGGGTTAATCATCATCAGGAGGTTATCTCTTCTGGGGAAAGGGAGTGTATCATCAGGGAGTGATGGTGTTGAAGAGGGGGGATACGAATCCGTTATGTAATCACCCTCGTGGGCAGTGAACCCATCTGTCTTGTCATTAGCCCCCAAAGCTACCCCAAAAACCCACTCCTCTTTCGAGGGCGGAGTCTTTTCTCTCATTCTCTGCGTTCTCCCGGAGATTCTCCCTGCGATTCTCTATTTGCCCAATCCGAGTGCAATGGTGAGTTTGCAACCCCTATTTGTTTATTTGTCCGTCTGTTTGTTGATTATTTGCTGAATAAATACTGGGGAAATTCGGAGCGAAAATTTGCAGTCAGGCGGCCAGGAAAAAGTTTAATTAGAACAATTAGCAGCGGTGGAAAAGTTGATTTTCCACAATGTTATCATTCGAGGAAAAAGTTGAGATTTCTCTGGGGTTCGGGAAATGTTTATGCAGCAAATCGACTGAATTTGTTGAAATAACAGAGGAAGCGGAAGTGGCAGTGGAAAATGTGGCAACGAAAGAGAAATGCGATAAACTTATAAGCAAGGGAATCTCTGCAGCTATGAATTTCATATTTGAGCTCATTTAAGTTTGCATTAAATTTGTGTACATTTTTGCAGCTGCTTTTCCGGACTTATTTGCTTAGGATTTCATTATTTTTTTGCTTTGCCCTAGCAACCTTTGAACTTTGGCAGTTGGCAACGCGTTTGATGTCCTCGCCAAATGTCAGTTGAAATTTGCATTTATTTTTCATTTTCTCCTCGGCCTAATTAGATTTTTGACAACTCCCTCTCTTACGTGTATATTTTACATATTTATTTTCATAATTTTCATAATTTTACGAGCTTAAGTTATTAAAACAACAAAAATGGCCAGACAAACGCGTCGCGTTTTTCAAAAATTGCGGCAATGAATTTGTGATTTAGTCAGCTTAATTATGTCAACACAAACTAACACCATAATTACCTATGCAACAGTTTTAATCCATAAATTCTAAATCCAAAAAAATTAAAGTTTTTGCCACGGGTCATTTTTGCCGTCTGATTGGTTTTTTTCGGCATTTTCGCTTATTAAAGTTTCATATTTTAATTAAATGTTAGCCAGCGAACCGCATTGAACCCTAAACCAACGGAACTATAAAATCCGGGTTTGAGATTTATGTGTGTGCGCCGGAAAAAACGCGCTCTGCTAATCCCGTAATTTGTACGGCCAACAGTGTTCAGGGCGGAAGTTCGCCCTCCTCCGCCACGCGTTTAAAATCTGACTAACGCACAACAATTTGGCCATAACCGCGGGCGCGTTTTTTGCCGTTTTTCGCTGGCTGGCACGCTCGCCAAAATCGCAGTGGAAATTTGGAGAAATTAAATAAACAAAGAGGAAAAAAGTGGCGGTTTCAGGGGGAAAATCTGTGTGGTGTGCGATTTCCATGTTGATTGATGGCTTCGACAACATGGCAACAAAATGGCGAAACTGCATTTGCCCACTGAGATAAAAGGATGTTCGAAGTCGAAGAATTACTTCGTTTCAAAACGCAAAAGGTCAGAAACATCTTGGGGCTCGAAATTGAAAAGATATTAGTGAAAATACACATTAAAAGGTTAAATAACTGAAATCAAAAAGATTCATTAGTCAAAACCAGATGAATCCAAAATCATGATTCAAAACAGTAAATATCTCCTTTACATCAAAAGGATTTTTAGATTGATCATTATTCCGAGTGAATAACGAGTCCTTGTTCTTACAGTGTAGAAAGGAGCCTGGTGCACATTTTTTCGGGCCAGGAAGCTCCGAACTTGACATGCATTGGCTTGCGCCTTGGATTCGCGAGATCTGTGGAACCACTGGCCACTGCAAATATTGCCACAGATTTTTCATCCAAAAGCGCATAAATCGCTGATACCGCAGGAAAATCGAGGGGCGGTGGAAACTCCAGGGGGCGAAAAGGCCGAAGCGGCACACATTCGAAAACGTGCATGAAATCCATTGAACAAACAGACCCACGGCAGTTGATTTTTAATTAACTACAAAAGCGCTTTACGCTACGCCCCCTCCCCCTTTCCGCCCCCTGGGAAATTGCGAAAATTTAAGGGGCGGGGCATTATGCCAGACTGACCATCATGATGTGTGTGTTATTTTTGGGTTTTTTGGCCAGTCTGCTGACTGCGTGACTGGATTACCATGAAATGTTTCCAAAAATGCAGCACATAGTTGCACTGCTATGATAACTTTGCGCTTCGTTAATCGCTGCACCTGCTCTTTCGATTTTCCCTCCTAATTTTTCCGTGTTTTTCCAGGCCCGGAAAATTGTGTCCCCGACAAAAGCCAAAATACATCGAAACGCCAGGCGGGCAAAAAATAAAAAGGGAAATTACTTGGTTGGGTCTAGCAGAGGTTAATAAAAACGGGGAGGAGTGGAAAATGGGAAAATGGGTGGTGTGGGGAGCGGCGAAAAACACAAAATGGCGGCTGCCTTTTTGCCAGTCACTCTAATTAGTGAAAATTTGCAGCACAAGTCGGTTGGAAACTTCGTCACCAAAATGGGTGGAGCATCACCGCCCCCCCAAATTTCACAATTTTCATCCAACCTTTTTTGGCAAATTGTTGACGCTGTTTTCGTCGTGTTGTTGGATTAAAATCGCGCAGCCATGAAAATTGCTCGTTACGCACATTCCTTCCCCCTTTTATTTAAGTGTATGGTGGAGGTTAAGCCAGGCAAATAGGGGTTAAGTGCATATGTGCACTGTTTAAAGTGCCGACATAGAATATCTCCTTCACTAATTTCAATGGAGATTAAAATCAGAATAATTCGTTTTTAAAAACAATATAAATAGCCTTAATGTTATATATTTGTTTTAATTATTAAAAAAAAAGCTTGAAGGAGACATCTTCAATCCTATATAGAATATATAATAAATGCAGAGCAAATTCAAAATTATTTTAAAACAACAATTTAATGATCAATTTAAGATTTTAATTTCAAGATTTGAATTTAAGTTCTATAACGGCACTAAGATCGCGTTAGTGCCAAATTAAGAATGCCAGAAAAGGTGTTGGAGAAGACGCAAAGAATCCAACAACAAACTGCAAATGGCTGGAAGAGCTGCAGTCTGGCAAAAGTACAAAGTGATTTTTTGTTTTATTGGTGGTTTAAAGGCAATACATAATTGAAAATGTAGTGATTTTATTAAGAAAATTGTCTTTGTGTTGTGCAATATTAATAAAAGTGTAGAGGCAACTTAATTGTAACTAAGCCGGTGAAAATGCAATGGGGTAAGCGCTAGTTTGTACTCATTGAAATAAAGCAAATAAAAGGGAATTGATAGTACGAGCGTAAAACTCTTGTAATGTGTGACAAATAAATATGATTTTAAAGACACTAAAACTTCCACAAATATGCCCTTAACGGTAAAAAAACAAAAAATGCTCACAAAATATGTACACATACATGTGTACGCCCTGCCACCTTTCACGCAATGCACACATGCACACATACATGTATATCGCGGCCATGTTTTGTTCTTGAAATTTCTTATTGGAAATGTCATGAGTTCATTGAAATTCAATTAACTTTTATTATACTTCCTTTTAGAAGGAGAAACGTAGAAGAGAGGATGCGAACATAACCTAACTTGGTGGGTCTAAACATTTGTTGATCTATTGCTTATATTATAATGTATAAATGTACTTTTTATAAAATTTGTACATAATCCAATATTTGAGAAGAACTAAATATTTATTTAAGAAGGTTCAGTGTTAAAAATTTATAAATCTAGCATAAAGCTACGAAAATCGATGTTATTTTTTTTGTACTGACATTTTTCACTCAAAACTTTACATGTTTTTAATGTTTAGTACCCCAGTACTTTAAAAGTGGTCTATAAAAAATCAACCGGTGCCTGTTAATTAAACATGACTAATTCTTTGAATTTAGGTTAAAAGCCACCAAATTTGTTCCTGTTTTTCTGACATTTTCCCCATTAAAATTAATGAATTTACACCCTCAAAAATCGTAAAAAAGATACCATATTTTTCCGGACATTTGCTAATCGCCGACACGGGCGACCTTTTAAAAGCTTAGCAGGGAGTGCACCTGTCCCTTCCACCTCCACCTTTTATCACCCACCGCCCGCTCACTTAACGTGCGTTTTTTGTGTAAATTTATGCAGCTTCGAGGGCAATTTTCCTCCCTGCGATAATATTTGTCTATGGTTACACGCTTCGACAGCCAAAACTGTAAAGAAAACATGGAAAAAGTGTCTCCCCCCTCGGAAAAGTCCTGCCCCTTTCCATTTTCCATGGCTCGAGGTTATAAACGCACTTTGCTGCCCGCAAATTCTCGGGGGGATACGGAAATATTCGCATCCTCGAACTCAAGTGTTTGAATAATGGAAAATTATGAAAAATTATAACAACAGCATTTACTGGCGGCAGTTGGGGTGTGAGATTTGCGGGAGAAGGTGGGTGGTTGAGTGGCTCACTCAGTGGGTGGTGGGTTGTTGGTTGCGGGTTCGTGTTTCGTGACCTCGGGTAAAATTAACGAAAATCTGATGATTACAGCTCATTGCCGTTTTTAATTCAATTTCGAGGCTAAACAAACATCGGGGAGGAGATACGTTTATTGTATCTAACGAGAGACAACAATAATAATAATAATAATAAAACCGTATTTTAGTTAATTGCCAACGCAGGTGGCCCAGGCTTGGAAAAATTCGAACCCCTTTTGAAGTTGAAGCCTCTCAATTGTGCAACTTCAAAGCGGCAACGCTTGAGATATAGGATGATCCTTAAGAGAAAGAAAGACTGCAGGGTGACAAGCCCTTTTCAAGTCCTGGCCAAAACAAAACGACAAAGTAGGAGAAAACAGCAGACACAACACAGATCAGTTCACAATGGAGGAGTGATGAGTGGGCACATTCTTCTGCCTGCCGTCTTTTTCCACTCTCTATATGTCTGCGAAGGGGTAACATCAATATTTGTAGAGTTAAGCGATCGAAAGGCGAGGGGAGCACAAATTATGCCAAGCTGATGATTACTAATTTCTTGGCGACGACCTAAGGCAAATATTTGAAATGCCCTCCAGGCATTTCTCCCATATATCCCTCTCTATCTGGCAGATCGGAGAACGAAATCACCGCTATCACTTGAGCTGCGGGATTAGGCGTATTTGACTTGCACGCACCAAAGAAGGCAAGGCGAAAAAAGAGAGGCAGACGGACAAAGGAACGAGTTTGTTTGCTGTGCAGGTAGGGCTACTGTTTTACCCGATCTTCGATCCATTCCATCTTATTCAAACCAATCCGATCCGATACCACCCGACTCTCGAGTGTCTAAATAAAAATAATAATTGTAAATGATGGAGTCAAAATAAGCAGATCATTTGTATGCTGAACTTCGTTTGGATGGGAAATGAATAATTACGAAAAGGTTTGAAAACAATTCTGTGAGAACCGAGCTTTATGCAAAATGTGTAGTCACTAATTCTGGTATGCCTTCGCTTAGCTTACATAGAAATGATTAAAAGCGAATTATTTTTTCAGGGAATGAATATAACTTAATAATGGTTTTAATTGACGATTTCTGTATTAAACCAGATATACAAGTTTTATAATCTCAAACTTGTACATCGAAATAAGAGTCAATCCGTTTTTAATTAGATCAGCAAAATATTCTCTGATACCTTGGAATTCAATGGAGATTACTCAACCCTTTTTGGTGTGAAAGGTTTTTTAACTATATGATTTCTAATCGAATGTGTTCCAATCGGCTACTTAATAGATCTCCGATAATAGAGACTCTCTGCTAGAGTAACCCCTGTGTAGGCTTCGATTTTGTTCACTTTTTCCCTTCTGTTTTCTCTTTTGTTATTGCTGCTGTTTGTCTTAGGCAAGATTTTCAATAATTATTGCCACTTATGGTCCACTGGGGTCTTAGGAGACGCAAGGGGTCTCGAGTGGCAACTCTTGGCATGCAAATATGCTAAACAGTAGCAGTCAAAAGCCGCGGTTCCAAGTTGGAAGCCAGAGCTTGAAGTTGATTATGCTGCTTAAGTCAATGACGAGCGATGACTGAGCATAAGATTTACTTGGGTATTGATGCCGTCTCTTTCTTCATCCACTTTGCTTGTCAGAGACAAGTTTGAAGTCTCTTTTTGTGTGTTGTATGTTAATTAGTCGCCCCCATGAGCTGGCAGATTTGAATACCCCGATTTCCAATTAGTTGAAAAGTCTGAAAATCATTTCCCCATCTCAGTTTTTAATTTTTATTAAGAACTCCCGCCTTGAACTTACAACCTGTATTCTAATCCGCTTAGGATTTAAATGCTGACAACCCGCGGCCAACATTTGTCGCCTAATCAAAAAGCAGGCGTCAATTCGCCTGCAGGTTAAGTAACGCCGCTCATTATCCTAAATGGTTAGTAATGTTAATGTGTAAGTTGTCTTAAGCTGAAGGCTAAACATAAGCCCACACCCCTTCGAGTGTCAACAAATGTCGCACTTGTCCGCCTTCCTACGTTCCGAAAGGTAAGGGTGTTCAAAGAAGGGGTTCCATACTGGGGTTGGATGGGTTAGATTAACATTTGACCGGTTGACAAACAGATTGTCAGGGAAACAACAACTAAGGGGTCCCGAAAAGCGTTGTTAATCTTTATCAAAGACGCGAAATATCCACCCATCAATGCACCAAAATTGAGAACAAATTAAATTGTCAACTTGTGTCGTCACATTCCTCCTTGGTGACCTCTCAATTTGTTTGTTTGTTGTCGGGTTTCCTCGACACTAATGGACTTTGAATCACAATTGTCGATGTTAAAGGGATGGTTCATCCCTTGGGGCCCCTGGGGTGGGATTTACAAGGACGCAGCAGACGGAATCCTTGCATATTTACATTGCCAATGATACGATTCAGGGACAACCACCAAGCAAATAACCATCACCATCCGTTTAAATATGCGGTTGTATTCCGAGTCCCATTACCCAAATTAAGTGAATCATTGGGATTGGCATTGTTTTGCTTTCGCCGGCGAAGAAGCCCCGCAAAATGTACGCCGCTGACAACTAAATAAACAACGAGAAGTTCTCAGAGGAGAATTCGGGGAGAGAAGAAAGATTGCGATGCAGATGCCAGAGATTCTGATTTCGAATCTGATTCATGATGGTTAGTGGGCAAGAGCGTGGGGGTAGCACTCAATTGGTTTCACGCCGGGAATTAAAACGAGCGTAAAATTAGAGCCAAATAGAAGAAAAGGTTGTTGCTTAAATGTTGGGGGATGGTTGCTATGAACTGAAGGCACGGTTTGTTCATCACACATCAGAAGTGAAAAACTATTATCAAAAGTAATTTTGGTAAACTCTTTTGAATTGTGACTGATTATGTAATTTAGTCATAAAAGGTGTTTGTTGACTTTTGGATATGGTTACTATAAATTTTTTTGGTCTATCTGTTTCTTGTTCTATAATTTAACGAAAATAACCCTTGTCATTTAAATTTTAAACGATTTTCAAACTCTAAACTCTTCTAAAAACCTTTTTACATGTTTGAGTAAAATCATTAAATCCGATTTATAAAATTAAAGTTACTCAAACTCTGAGATTGCACAAACTCTGAACTCACCTCAACTCTTTCCTCCTTGAGATCCACTTTGAGGGCCAGTTGCTCCCTGAGCACCACATCCGGATAGTGGGTCTTGTCGAAGGTGGCCTCCAGTTGCTCCAACTGCTCCTCTGTGAAAATGGTGCGGTGGCGACGCTTTCTCTTCGGCGGTGGCCCATGGCCCAGATGCCCCAGGTGGTGTTGGCCGTGGCCGTGGTGGTGGGCGCCCAAATGTGGGGGGTGTGGATGTCCGTGGGGGTGGTGCGGGTGGTGCCCGTGACCCGCCAATCCGGCGGCTGCTCCACTCACATGCGCCTGCATCTGAGCAGCGGCCACATGCGCCACCGCAGCCGCGTGCATGTAGTTTGGATAAAAGTTGGGGTACGCCACTGCACAAAAACAAAAAGAAAATTCATTACTCGCTGGCTGTAATAACAGTCATATCATCATCATATAAGCAAGGCAAGGGAGGCGAGGTAAGTTTTATATTCCTGGGTAAATCCTTAAAAATGCGCATAACGAATGGCGGAAAATAAAACGCCGCCATGCTGGCTTTACAGTAAAGGTAAAATAAGTAGTAATTTTTTTTTTTTTAAGATTTTACTTAAATGAGGAATTTAAACAAAAATAAAGTAATAAAAACACTTTGGACAAATTTACCAATAATGTAATTTACCAATAACATATTTCGATAAAATATCTTAAAGTGAATCTGGTGTATTGACCCCAGCTGTAAGCATATGTGAGGCTTCCGTTTCCGGTTGCAGCAAGCTACGGGAAAAAGTTGCACCCAGGTTTTTAATATTCATGTCCTGCGGGGGAGCCTTTGAATGAATTTAAGCGGGATTCTGCATAAATCTCCGCCGAGATCCACGCTTGAATCCACACAAGACCCGAGCCCATCTTAAAGCCACCCCCGGAAGCAGTTTTTCCCAGGCCCAATCTAAGACTTAGACCCCAATGCAAATCCTCTCACCGCAAAATCGAAGGGAAATGGAAGGGAAATGCGGAATCATCTTTCACGGATCATTGCCTAATTATGAATAATGCCATTCAGGATTCGCTTAGGAATGAGCGTGGTTCTGTTCAGTGGGTGAGGATGAGGATGTCAGGATGAGAGTGGGTGAATGGGTGATTGCTGACTGCATGAGTGGGTTTCTCGTTCCCTCAAGGTGTTTTGTGAATAAGATTTCGATAAAAAGCCGAAAAAAAATATTTTGCAACCTTGTACATTCGAGGGATATGAGGAATTAAATAATATTCGTATGAAACCATTTTTACAAAACCTTTCAATCAGCTTATTTAAGTCTTGAAGAAGCAGCTTTATGAAGGTCGTTTAGTTTAATTCACAATTTTTTATCGAAACACAAGACCATTTTACTGGGATAACTATCTAAGAAAGTTTATAGAAGTTTAAATAAACATTCAAAATTTTCCAATTTCGATCCTTAAATTAATGTTGAAGGACAGAAGTAAATGATGAGTTAGCTCTTCTTACCTAGAAAATCCGAGGGGGAGGCGGCAAAACCACTTGCCGCTGCCGCCGCCAAGTGGCCGAGATGTAGGCCGGGATGTTGCAGCATGGCAGGAACCCTCTGTGGTCGGATGGGACTGGCGGCGGCGCTGGAACTGGAGTTTGAGTTGGGTGAGGCGGGCGACTCGGCACCACTCCTCTTCAGGCCCAAACTGATGCCATTCGAGGTCAGTCCATTTTGGCTGCCATTACTGGCGATGTGGTTGCCTTGGCTCGCAGCAGATCCTCCAGCCTGTTGCCTGGAGCCCAAAATGCTGTCGATGGTGAAGAGGGATGCGGCTGCAGCTCCTCCTCTTCTGTCCTCCTCCAAAATTGTGACTCCCGACTGGCTGCCATCATCGGAGGATGGGGTCTGGCTCTGCGACTGTTGGTGGGCATGCTGCTGCTGGAGCACCGATTGCAGTCTCTGGCCCAAGTAACCACATTGCTGGGAGTTCAGCAGCATGGCGGTGGTCAGGTGATAGGCGGCCGAGTTTCCTGGAGAACGGGAGATCTGTCTTGGTGGTTGCTGCTGCTCGCCGAGATCGCTGGGCGATCTTTTGAGTGTATAACCTGCCGGCGGGGAACTGGTTTCGACCATTTGGGCAAGCAGAGAACCTGCAGGCGGGGGCGTGGGCGGTGGGGAGGGGCTGGGCGTGCTCACGACGGTGATCTTGAACTTGGCCTTGGAGGCCGGAATGTCGGGCGTGGTGCTGGAGGTGGTGGTACTGCCACTGCCACTGCCGCCTCCTCCGTTGGTTGCGCCGCCCGCCAGCGTCGCCGGGGTCCACAGTGAGGAGAGAATCTTGAAGGCGTCTGTGGACTATCGGGCAGGAAAATGTTTTTCGGTCCCGGAAAATGTTTTTCAGTGTAATCAGGGGAAAGTCCACTTAACAAGGATGTTAACAGATAATTTCAATGGAGTCTTTGGAACTTTTTTGATTGCAAAATGCTTTTCCGTCACTCTTTCACACAAAACGTTTTGAAAAACTATTTTTAAGTAAAGATTAATCCACTAGGTCGCACTAGAAACTCGTACTAAAATCGCTTCGTGGTTTTTGGTAATTTTTTACAGGTTTTCAGCCACCGGGAACCCTTCTTGTCCGCTCGAGCTGCGAAACTGTTGTGAGAGCGTGCCGCCCGACAAGTTGTCGAGTCGTCAGGCCAGTTCTTTTACAGATATAGATACAAACTCTCAGATACCAGATACAAACTCACAGCCGTAATTCTCTCTCGTTAAGCGGACATGTTTGGACGCCAACCAATGAAATCGGTGCCAAGCCACGCCCTCCAAGCTACCATGTTGTTTGGTAATGCTCTCTGGTTTTGAACATCTCTCTCTATCAACCTCCCTCCCTTTCTTTCTTTCCTTCTCTATATCTCTTTCTCTCGCTTTCTCTTGCTGGTGGTGGTTGAAGGTGTCGGGGTCCTCATTTTGCTGTTTTCCAGGTTATAAGGTTGCCAGGAGGTCTTGGATAAAGATGGCGCTTGGGAGAGAATGTCCTCTTCACAGGACCCCCATATTCCCCCAATTTTTTTTATATCTCTTGCAGTATTTTTTCCGCTCTCTACCTACTTTCTTTGGCCACTGACAGTTATTTATACAGATAAAGTCATCACTGACAGACCCCGAGGCCCCCAGAGAAAGAGATAGCTGTCAAGAGTGCGATAGAGAAGGGTAGAACGTGTGCCAGAGATGGGTGTAGAGCAGCTCTCTCTTTTGCCCTTTTACCATAGTGCGGGGGATAGCATAAAAATGTTGATGGAAATTATGGGTGGCAAAAAGGCTGGCTCTTTTCTCGCTTTCAGGGGCTTCTCCGCTGGCTCTGCCGGCGCTGTATCTTAAGAAGATAATGACTAAATTAATGCTTTTATGTTTTTGGCAACACATAAACATCATTATGCGCTCAATCCGCCCATGGAGATGCGCAGTGTCTTAACCCCTTGTACAGTTTTATCTTCTCCTCCTTTCTGGGGGTTTAAGGTAATGTAGAGTAGTGATGAATTCAATGGTGAAAATTCTCTGTAGAATAAATTCTACTGAATGAAATATACAGAAAGAGTCAAGCTTACGCGGGAAGAAAATTAGAGAGTGGAGCTCTACAAATAATTTACACCACTTTGGTGACCCCCATCGCTATTGTTCCACCTCGTGTGTGTGCATATGAAAATATTTTAATCTAAAGTTTCCACATCAAACATGCCCAAGTGCAAAATCCCCGATGGCCTCCAGGATATATCCCCTCCCCCTTCTCAAATGCAGGAAAACAAAAGCTAAGCTACGACTAATGATAAATGCAACTCTGGCAAGCCACTCATACAAACACCAATGAAAAGCCATCCAGGAAAAGCGAATGAAGCGAAAAGTCCTTACAATGTCACCTGTGAGAGGGTAAAAACATAAAAATGACTTAGAAAAATAAGTGAAAAAAGCAATTCAGGACAATAAAAAAAGTTACTGTGGAAAAATGAATTCAAATGTAAGAAATATTTTACTATATTGTTATAAATTAATCAAATAAATTAATCAGTAACTGTAACGATTGTTGAGTAAAATAATGTAGTGAGGTTAACATTTAAACTAACACGAAAACGTTTAAATAAAGTCATTTAGACCTTTATCAATTAAGGGTCTTTAAGGCTATTTTACTAAAAGTTTACCTACATTTTGTTCTGTGTAATATGCAGGACAGGGAGGTCCTGAGTGGGAGGCTTACATAAATGCAGATATTTGAGTGTGTGTCGTGGTGTATGTGTTCAACTGATTAAGGGGAAAGGAAGTAGAGGAGCGGTTCTGTCACATGTTGTAAAAGGATGAAAGGATGACGGCTGATGACGTCGAACGTGGCCAAATGCTTTTAGAAATTATTGAATAATTAAGCAGGCAAGGACCAGGATATTTTCTCTCCCTCTTTCTCGTCGAACCTCAGTGGATTCTCCATCCCACTTTTTCCTGGGTTTTGCTATTTGCCTTTGCAGTGAACTTCTTACATGGCCAAAAAATCCCGACGGGAAAACTGATGATGGCAAGTAGAAGAGGCAGAGAAGATGAGGAAGCACTGGGAGTGCGCTCGCTTCCCGCTAAGCTTTAAAGTTTTGCTTCACTTTTTTCTATTATTTTCCTCGGAGAATTTTTTCTGTTGCCATTTTCCACATGGAACTTTTTGATATTTTTCCTCCCAGCCTGACCTGATTTTTTGTTCCACTTGCTGTGCACTTTTTGTTTTAGTTCGTAGATTGAATTTTAAATAAAAAATTAAATTAACTCGTCTAAGTATTGTATTTGGTTTTCTACCACTACCCCTTCGATTGGCTGTGCGAAAAAGGACTTCAATTGGCAAAGGACTAAGCAAACATTGTGGAATAAAAGGTTTTTCTACTTTTCCATTTGAGCGCCGGGCAAAAAGCGATGGGAAAATGTGGGGAAAAATCATCATCTTCTCCGAACTTTTTCTTGACTCCCGATGATGATGATTTTTATTTCGATTTTCTGTTGCCATTTCTCTTTCGACGCCCACGGCCACATTTTCCAGTTGTGCAAAATTAGAAAAGTTTTCCTAGCTCTCTCTTTCTCTTTCTCTTTGATTGTTTCTCAGAAGCGGAAAAATCGGGAGAGAAGAAAACTGGGGGTGGGAGGGCGTGTGCTTTGCGTATTTGTCTTGTTAAAAATTTAAGCGAATTTCCTCGAGAAGCCAAATCGAAATCAGCAGCAGAATCCGCACCAGAATCGGAATCAGATTCGTCGGATTCAGCAGCTAAATCCCGTGCTGAGGATTTGCAATTGCGGCTGAGTCGCCTGCTGCTGACATTGATATGTTAATGAAACCTCGACATAGAATCGAGCGCTAATCCCCGCCAGCAGCAGCAGCCCCCGGATCATTCTATATGGTCACACCGGTTTTGCTCAGCAGTCAATTAAATGTTTAATCCAAATATCGTTTTATGCGTCGCACAGTCGCTCCGCTCGGAGGTTTTTTAAGCTGATCCAGGGGTACACTGGAAAAAGGATTCTTAAAAGAAATCATGAATTTATTTAATTCCGGAATTCCTGAGATAATACATGGACTTCAAGAAATTCGTCAAAAATATAGGCTGCGTACCGTTTTCAGAGGGAGTTAAGCCTCGAGTGTTTTAAAACTTTTACTTTGGCTTCGTCTTGCTTAATCTATTCTGTTCTGAGGTTTCCCCTACTAACTAATTATAAAAAAAACATCTATGCATGATAAACTTCATAAAAATTTTCATGCATGCTATTATCTTTAAAATAATGAATATATATAGAATAAGCTTAACCTTCTGACCTTTTTTGAATAGAAAATTGTACATGAAGTTATTAATTTATTAGGCTTGATACTATTTTCAGCATATTAACTTATTTATTTTAGTTATTATTTTGGTAAGTCCTATCTTATAAGCCTCCTTTTGATATCAACTTTCTTAGAGTGTAGTAAATACAAGCAGTCCATGGTAATGGCTGTCGCATCAAGGGATCAGTCAGTTCGGGGATCAGGGATAAGTTTAATCTTGCGATATGCGTAAGCGTGCAAATTGCATCGATTACGCATGGCGAGAAAGAGAAAGAAACGGGAAGATCGCATCAGCAAGAGAGGGATGGATGGAGACAAAAGGTGCAATAAAACCAAAAACCCGTGCGGATGAATGGCAGTGATATTGAAGGAACGATTCGGGGCGTGAGACAAATCCAAAATGGTCGACAAATGGACCGCTGATCAAGGATTGGAGTGTGCAGGAAAGAGAAAGAGAGATGGAGCGGGAAAGAGACAGAAAGCAGCCATCAGGAGCAGCTGCTTTTTCCACATCCTAGGGAACCGTGTTTTGGGTTCGTATTTGCGTAAACAAGGCCACACTTTGGTCAGGGCTTCATTGTCCCTCGCTGTTTGGTATTGAGCTAGGTGGGTATTCCCGGCTTGTTTGATTTGCTTTGAGAATATATAGATGAATTAATTCCTCAATTCAGGTCTCCAAAGAATAGAGGAACATAATAAAACCAAGTGAGGAATCTATTGACAGATAACCTCTAGGCAAATTCTGGGATGAAGCCTCAAGAAATTTTTGTTTTTAGTAGGACTTATGGTTTAACTATTTGCTGTTTGAATATTTGTCTGCAAACAAAAGTTGAAAAGTATGGTATTACCATAAATTAAATTTAGAGCAAGACCTATTTATTTATATATTATTTAAAAACATATCTGGAATCAATTTAAAAAAAAAAATATTAACTGTTCTCAATAATCAATTTAAAAAAATATTAACTGTTCTTAATAATATATTATATATAGAAATATGCATCCCTGATACACTGTTTTAATCTTGAAGACTCTAATTATTTAAAATGCTGTAACAGTAAATACAAATCAAAAGTAATAGTAAAAGAAAATGAGCAAAATGCCTACATATGTATGTACATACGAAAATATATTTGAATTATACACGAATATCTCTATTGGGAATTGTTTTCCTTTCTTTTCTTCAAATAAAAACTCCCATTCAACTCTCCCTTTTTTAGCTTTTAGGCTGTCATAATTGTTCGTGTTGATTTGATGCGTAATTAAAAATTTAAATTATGTGACCCGAGGATATTTTGTGGGCGTATGGGTGGAAAAAATATGGAAAAAGGGTTGAGGATGGCCAGTCAAATATTTGTCAAGTGGAAATGGAAGGGAAACATCCTGAACGGAGAAGGTAAAAAAGGAGCTTGGTAAAAGGCAATCCCATTTGCGTGAACTTTGCTCTTTACCGAAAATTACTTCAACTCAATTAATTATCCGAGTTTTCTTTGCAGAAAGACCTTTCACCTCTTTCTCGTTGTTTCTGTGCACTTTTGGAAATTTTATTTGCCTTTACTCTTTCTTGGCAAATCTCGCAAATCAAAATGTGGTCCTCATAGTCGACTCTAACTCCATCTCCTGGCTGATATTTCAGATGTTTCTGTTCAAGTTCGACGAATCCCTCACCTCAGACAAAGCCAAACAAATTGCCAAACAAACAATTTGAAAAAGAGAACAGAATCAAGCAAATAAAAGGATAGCAAAGGTGGAGAAAGGGAACTAAAAATATAGGTCCCAGGATTTGAAAAACACTTAAAGAAAAGTGCCTGTTAACATACGCGTAACATTTCTTGTCCCACTGTCAAAATTTCTCAAACAAAGAAAGTTTTTGGCAAAAAAATTTGGCTTTCTCGAGTGTTACCCAGACTTCTCTGTTAAGAAAAAATAAGAACTGAGATCAATAAGATTTAAACAAAGAAAACCTTGGCTTGAGATGCTATTCTGTTCCGTAAAACACTCCGTATTCTTTCTAGTACAAATTAAATACGGATGTCGAGAAAGCGATTTGCTTTCAGGCAAGTTTATCTGGTCCTTTTCTGACATCTGTCTAATACTTTGACAGGGTAACAAGTAACCAGTGCACTTGCATTAATAAATGTACAGCTTTGGAACTTGCTTTATATATTTTTCTCCAGTGTAGAAACGGCTTCCTGAAGGCTGTTTTTTGCAGCGTGTGTGGCGTGTTTGTTTTTCTCCGTGTTGCCCCGTTTTGTCGTCTTTTCTCGTCTTGTTCCCTATTTCCTTGTTATCCGCGTGTTCTCTGTGTATTTGCCATGTTGTCTCGGGAATAAAAAACTAAGCAAAACAAAACTACTGCCCTGTCCTGTTTTTGAGGTCCTGTCTGGGGATCCTACTGATTTGGCTGATCGTTTTCCCGGTCGCTTTTCAATTGACCGTTGCAAATCGCAACAAGGATCAGCCGGGATAAGCCCCGTTGTATGGCAAACAGAGGAGGAGTTTCCCCCTTCCATTTCCCATCTACTCTGCTCATTTTTTGTTTCGCTTCTCGTCCCTTTACTTTACACGCCCCGTAGAAGAAAGAAATGCTTTCTCCGCCATACTGTTCCCTTTTTTTGCGATTATTTTTGTGGAGATTGCTGATGCGCATTTGATTGCTACGATCCTAGCATACCAGTATATCCCTCGATCTGCACCGAACCTGTTATCCCTCTGTTCGTGTTTAAGTCCTTGGAAAATCGTTTTTTGCGCCTTCTCCATTTCCCTGTCGACTAATTGCGAGAGAAATCTGCTAAGACCTACGGACCAGAACTAGATTGAGATTTAGATTGATTTCAGTAGCAGCAGCCGTCGCTGCATCTGAATAAAAGGGTGTGAAGTGGAGGGCCACTTCAAAAATCTCGTTATCCTGTCAGCAGCAGGACTCTTTCTCCTTGGCACTGTGCTCCTTCGGCTGGGAAAACTGCCAGTCATTTATGAATTGGTTTGTGTTTGGCTCTCGGAAGTGTGGGGGAGCAGCGCTTGGTGCCAAGTGCTTCTGCAGCTGTCCTTTTGCCTGCCGTTCGCATATCGCTTACAGTCCGAGAGCAGATGAATGAAAGCAGCAAACGATTCAGATTCCGATTCTGATTCTGTCACCCTCGTGCACTCAGAAAAAATAGATACAAAAAATTAAAATTTTTAAATTCATAGTATAAAGTAGTGAGATTAAGAAGCAAAGCCTGTCCTTCTGTCTGTCCATACGTCTATCCGTTTCTACGCAAACTTGTCTATCAGTTTAGAGCTATCTGAATGAAGCTTACCCAAAAGTATTTTTTCTAAGTCATCGTCATATAACTTCCATAGGAACAATCGGAAAAATATATGAACAACATTTATAAATTCTTTGTTTTTTAACATATTAAAAATATACTCTAAAATATAGTAATTTTAAACAACTTCAGAATCAAGGTTTTCATTTTATAGAAAAACAGGCGACTATATTATATCGATCGCAAAATGTTTTGGATATTCCACATATCTTTTAGGTTCTCAAGCATATACGCATAAAATATATAATATTACGACTGGCAAAAGTATGCTTCGTTCTTTTCAATATTTTTTCCTGTTTTTCCCCTGTGTGAAAGTGAATGAAAAGAGTCGCAGTTCATTATTTTGTCCTTTTCTTTCATTTTTCGCGTACGACAGCACCAGCAGCAAAAAAAAAGGCAAGGAGTAGGATCAGGCTTAGGCACTAGTCCGGGCATCATTTTCATCCTGCGAGAAAGCATAAAACCCGAACCACTCAAAACGCCTCCACGGGACTCAATTGTTTTCGAGATCAATTTGCAACTTAATTGAAATCCATTTAAAGTAATGAGAGTTACTAACTTGTCCTGCATCGACCCTGTATCCTTTCGCTACCCTTCGCAGTTCTTTGTTTTCCCATTTACCCTTGCTTTTGCTACCCTTTTCGGTGGCCGCAGGCTTTATTTTGATCCAGAGCTCAAGAATTATAATCCCACGTAGCATAGTAGTGCATAGTAGATACCTGTGGCATCCTTCCATCTCCTGATTGTTCCGATAGTCCTGATTGTCCTGTTGTCATGCGGCCAGAGATCTATTTGCGAGACGTGCAAATGCAAATTGTCCCTAATGTAGCTGAACTAAGTAGCAATCTCCCAGCTCCCCGCGGCGAGGATTCTCGTTGAGATTTTCGTGTGGCCAAATGAGAACTGATTCCAAAATGACCGAACTATCAAAATATTGTTTACTACACTTTAAAAATAAAAACATTTTAAATTATCTATATTTTTAAAAATTTTAAAATTGCGTTCAGTCATGATCCGGTTGCCTGGTTAATTTTTAAAAAGGAAGTGGTTTGATAAAATCACAAAATAAATATCATTCAACGGAACTGGATTCGGAACTTTCAACACAAATGCGAACCACTAGAATTAATATATATTTTTTTTAAGCGATGCGCTCAAAAAAATATGCAAAATAAAGGCGGGCAAAAAAGTCGCTGGCCAAGTCCATTAAAAGGGAATAAGTGCGTGAAAATCCTGGCCGCAGGATATTTTTCATATTATCAGAACGCATATTACTTCATCAGAAATGAAGAGCTTTCCCCCCGCCTGTTGCCAAAGTAAACATGTGTGAAGTGCTTTGGGAAAAAGGAGGGATGATGGGCGGGATGATGATGGCCGTGATATCCATATCTAAAGCCATATCCATAACCATACCCACGCGCCTTTTTTGTTACACTAAAACCGCAATACAAACACACCCACACCCACTTATGAGTCGAAAAGGGAGAAGCGGTACAGGATATATTGAACACTGTGCACCACATTCAAGTTGATCTCCTTGTAAATCTCTAAATTGTTTTATGAACATATTGGCCGGGAAGGTGTAAACCTAATTTTCCTTTATGACCCGACGAGGCAGGTAAAGTGGAAGTGCGTCCACGAACTTTTTGTTCCGGCTCAGCAGGATGCGCTCTATATAAATCTGCCCTTTGTGTAGCCGCCTCATTTAAATCGTACCGCTGGCCAATTTGCATTCGCACTACAGCCAAATTGATCCGCCCTAATCCTAGTTTTAGTTTCAGTTCCGAACCTCTGCGTTCCTTTGCCGACCCATCGACCGAGATTTACAAGCCCGGGATTTGAATTTGCTAGAAAAACAAAACTCCTCTGCCTTTTCCTTTGGCTTTAACCTTAACCTCAGTTTGGCTCTATTTCTGGCTGGGATTGGCTTGGATCTGCATCTGGATTTGGACGAGATCAGGCTTGGCTTCTGCTCTTGCTCCGGCTTTAACTTTGCGCTTGCCCTTTGCCGAAAATGTTCAATCAGCAAATTGAAGTCAGTCGTCAGTCCTGGTGCTCGAAAAAAGCCATTTGGTTTTCCTGCGCGGGGAAACAAAAGCCTTGGGATTTACGAGTTAAAATATATTTTAGACTGCTTCATATTATTTCGATGCTCAAATACAATTTATCCGATACATTTTTCAATCGTTCCCATGGCAGCTATAAGCAACAAGTTAATTTCATTTTAATTAATTAAATAATTTTAATTAAAACCGTATTTATGAAATATCTTAAAAGTACTCTATCTTGGAGTATGCGGATATATGTTTTTTTTTGAAAAAGTTTCTTCCAATTAGATTTATAACTAGTTTGCGTAGAAACGGACACACGGACGGATTTGTTATTGAAATTCGGAGTAGTTTATTTTAAGTTTAAAATATGGTATTTCAAAAAATTAAGACTTAAGAACGTCCATAGTGGCGCCATCTGATGTTCATTTGTATTCCCTGTTTTTCGTTTTTAACAGCATTTTGAATAGATAGCGCCACCTATTGTTCGTTTTCGTAATATGTATGGCAACACTGTCGATTTTTACCGAACAATCGGTGAAAGGGTCACCCGATTTCTAAAAATGGCAACGTTTTTGTTTTTGGAATTGGTGGCAGCACCTTACTGTTTTGTTATATTTGCTGGGAAATAAACAAAGGTTGGACGAATGTTTAGTTTATAATAATAAGAGCTAATGCAGGAGAAGAGATCGGAGGATATGGCCAGGAGAAGGTCGAGGAAAAGGAGCAAGCGACGCAGACGCCGGAGGAAAAGTGACGGGAAACCAAAACCCACACAAACAACTCAAGATCAGTGCACCATTGCAGCTCAAAGTAATAATTTTATTTCGAACCAAAACTCTATTTTAATTGATCAGGATCGTTTCTTACCCGCACATTCAAATAGTATATCAAAGGCTATTTCAATGGCACCACAATCATGTTATGAGTCTTTGCCCCGTGATCAATCCGAATCAGGACCAGGATTACGAGGACATCATCAAGGAACCTGAAGTATCGCACTGCCTGGATTATGTCTACGAAAGTTCCTCGGATGATGAGGCTGACGAATCCATTGACGAGGAGTATCTGAAGTTCCTGGAGGTCACCATCAAGCACCAACAGGAACTGAGGGACCTAAGAGATGCCCAAAATACCATCTCTTGAAATAAGGCTTATGACAAAATTTGTATTGAGGGGCTTCATTTATCAAAGAGCCAATTAAAACCATAGCAGTTAAGATAAACTAAGTCGAACTTCTTCTATCTGCCCAATTTGATTCTCAAAAAATCTGCATTCAAAATTTTCATTTTAACGTTGGTCCAATTTTTGACCCATTTTCATGTCATTTATTTCCAAGTTTCCGATGTGTTGTTAAAAGGTGGCCCAAAACTGGACTTCCGGAGTCCATAACTTTACCAAATTTTGTCCGATTTCAAAGTGGCATATCTCCTAAGACTCGTAATTTGATTCTCAAAAAATTTGCATTTAAAATTTTCATTTTAACGTTGGTCCAATTTTGGCCCATTTTCATGTCATTTATATCCAAGTTTCCGATGTGTTGTTAAAAGGTGGCCCAAAACTGGACTTTAGTTTATAGTTTATACAACTATTTCGATACATTCTACATTTTGTTAGTTTATAAAGTGTATTTATTTATCATTTTTTGTCACCAAATTTTGATATAAGAAATATAGCGTTTTTCAATTGCGATCGTCAAGTCTTTTTCACGTTTTTTTTAACTGCCATCGAAACGATATAGATATAAAAACAAAACATTAATTTATAGATAAAAGAGTGCCTTAATATATTTGATGCACAATCTTGCCCCAAGGCTAGAACTTAAATTTGCGTAGGTTGGGAAAGCAATTGTACTGTGGTTCCCGGAATGCCTTGTCTCCGTTTCTCTGTTACTCTCACATGATTCTCCACTAATGAAGTTGTGCGAAGACGAATATTTTTTTTGCCAAAGGATACGCACATTAACCCGACCAAGACTAATGCGATGTCATTTATAATCGAGCAGGAAGAACCAGCAGAAGTCTTCGGAATTGGGGCATGACTAAAAGGGAGAAGGGGCTAAGGGTGGACGGAGGAACATGTCCTCCATTTGTGGGTCAGAGACAATGACCGGTGTTTGTGTGGGCGTGGCAAGTCGGGCATTAGCCAACATTTTTCGGCACTTTTCAGCAGAAACCTAATTAAGACGTCAGACTCTGAGTGGCTATGGATGCCGTTGCCTCACTATCGTCCGCCATCCTCGGTCTCCTGTCCAAATTTCTCCCTGGAAGCCGTTTTCCCACCTCCTCCTCATTCTCCCGTGAAATCACGACTGGCGACGACAACTGCGAACGACCTTTCTAATGCCCGGCCACTGCATAAATCATGGCTCAAATGGCGGCCACCTGCAACCGGCAGCACCAATTGCAGTAAACCAACTGCAACTGCAAGTGCACTGGGCAAAAATCTTGTAAAATACGTGCAAATATATTGGTTCTAATTGGCGGCCAAAGTCGATAATCAGTTTCCATCCAGCTGATTTTGTCCACTTAACATTAAGTTTGAAAATACCCCATGTGCTTTATAAAATATAATTAACTAGGATGTTTTTATATTCCATTTAATTAATGTGTATATTATATTTTCATCAGTGATTAAAAAAAATATATTTAAAAATAAAAACAATTCGTTGTTTAAAAATTTAAAATTTCTTGTAATGTAGGTACTAAGGCTGTGCCTGCATCGGGAACGGAAACTGCAACCAAAATTTTAGCTAAAACTTAAAACTGTGATGGGAATTGGGGAATCACAGTTGCACATTCACCAAACGGGAGCGATAAAAGTTTAGTCAAATCGAAATTTAGATTTCAATAGAAAGTTTGACTACGCCCACCGAGTAGAAGAGGAATAAAAAGAGGAATAAAATCGAATAGAACAATAAAATTGTTCGAATAAAATTCGAATGGCTGACCAAGAAAAATCGAAGACATCTTCTTTTCTATGCTTAAATATACGTAATAAATGTTTACACAGTTGTAGGAGAAGGCTTAAATTCGGAAGCCCCAGGAATCAACAACAGAAGCCACTAAGCAAAATGGCTGCATTGAGGTTCAGGCCTGGAGAAAAAAGGAAGAGAGTGTGAAGGAGAAGCCTCTAATTAAATGGGTGTACCTGCTGAATAAGGCTAATAATCAGCAGGAGGAGAACCAACGGCAGCAACAAGTGGAGCCGGAACGAAAACGAACTGGCCAAAAGGGTTGTGGCCAACTGTTGCTTGTTGATTGCCTCTCTTTCTTTGGGTTTTTCTCCCTTTTTTTATCCGACGCCATGTTGCCTGTAGATTTACATGAGATTGCGATTGAACACCCCCAACTTTTCAGATATTGCAAGACATCGCGGCATATGAATATTTTATGAGCTGGCAACCGGCTGTTGTGGAGGCCAACCGTCGACAGTCGGGGAGCATTTGAAGTGCCAGACAAATTGTTGCCTACAAATCAATTAAATTGCTAATCAACAGCGACAACAAACAAAACGGCAGCAGCAGCAGCAACAACATGAGAAACGCAGCTCCGGCACCAACAAATCGTGTATTAGGCTCACAATTTAATGGAGCCGCATTCCAGAGGCAAAGTCTAGGCCCATTGTTGGTTCCCTATCGCCAAAGCGACCACAAAAAATGCATAAACATATTGCAGTTTTTTTTTTCTCTTTTTTTTGGGGTTGGGGAGATAAATAAAGGGGCCAAACACAAAACAAAGCTGCCAGACTCGGACACAAACAAGTGCGCTGCAATTGGGTAGTGAGAGTGGGCTAAGAGGGGTTAGGAGGGGTTATGAGGGGCAATAGGCAGTTAAACGAGGGGTTAATGGGGGAGGGAGAAGGAACACACGGTCAGAAGGAGAGGGAAACTAGCACGACCCGAAAAACCAAAGCTGCAACAGTAACAGAAACAGAAGCAACATGGAAACACCGCAGGCGGCCTTTGACAAAAAAATCAGCTAGCCACAAATATGTGCTTGAATATATAGAGAGGGAGCAGCAAAAGAAGCCAATGAGAATGGTGGATAAAATGGCTAAGGCCAAAAGATGGCATCTAAACAAAATGAATTAGAAGGAAAATCTTTTTCTAGTTTAGAAAAATTAATGAATATGATTGAAAAATAGAATTTTATCTTTAACTAGATAACATTCGAAAAACCCTTTCCTAATTAAGTATTCAAATTTGTAATTAAGGTTACTTAAATTTAGCCTCCTATATATTTTTAACTGGGTTATATGGAACCTCCCACTGTTTTAGCCGCTGTTTCAGTTGTCACCACCATTACGGTGATCAGGCTTTACAGCATTTGAGAGTTAGCTGCTGTCGAAATTCATTCAATTGCAAGCTAAAGCCAGTCTTAGATTAAGATTCAGGCTAAGCCTCGGAATCGGAATCGGATTCAGATTTAGACGCGGGCTCAGACTCGCTTCCAGTTTCAGCTTACCACGCATGGAGCTTTTTCATGTTGTTCTCCATTTGTCGCCTGGCACTTTTCTAACTTGCTGTGGGAAAAGGAGTGCCGCTGGAGGCTGGAGGGGATTGGGATGGCGGGGATGTTCGAACAGGGAGGGTTGAGAAGCGTGAGAGTCGACAACAAACTGCGCCTGCGCACGCGTTCAATTAGCTGCAAATTGCAAATCGTGCGGCGCATGCGCAACGTCCCGATGCGATGTCGCCACTAACGGCGGCAACATGTTGCTGCTGCTTTAAAACGACACAGAAAGAAACATCTCGATATCATTTTGATTTCGATCATTATTATTATTGAGGGTACATAATATCAAGCATTTTTTACACTTTTACATTCTTATAAAATCTAAAATAGGGTAATTCACAAAACATCTATATCCGGTGTTTCGGTGGAACATATTTAAAATCATATTTTATTTAACTTTAACTATAAAGACTAATAATTTTTATAGAGTTACATATAATATTATTTTATTAAAAATTCTTTGGTATTTTTTCGAAAATATCTATTTCACATTTTCATACATACCACAACGAAATCTTGTTACTTACTCAAAAATAATATGAAACTTGTCACCATATAATATTTTTTTTTGCGTGCACCACAACGGTCACTGCAATACCAACGGCAACAGTTGCTAATGTGTTGTCAACAAAACTCATGTTGACAGCAGAATCGAAAATATTTCATTTCAAATTTGTGCTGCTGCAGGTGTGGGAAAGAGAAAGGCTCCAGGAGGTGCCGATGTACACTGTTAATTGGGTGGTGCTTGTCTGGCTTGGGAGGGGGTGGGCGGGGCAGAGGTAGAGGTAGGTGGTTACCTTGAGAGAGACACATCCTGTCAATGGTTGCAACCATAACTCAGTTGGAGCCGAAGTGGCTGCATTTGCATGGAGGGAATCGAATTTCTTGCGGTTAGATTCGAATGTTGCTGCTGAGTGAATGATAACTGACAGTTGAAACAGCCAGCTGGAAAAAACAGCAGCAACAATGCAAACATTGCAGTCACAGCGACAACATGTTGCTGCCGCATCCTGAGGGAAGTCGCCTGTTTTTGCGGCCTTCTCTCTGCTCCTTGGTTAAATGTCAATAAATATTGGCAATACTCTCGTCCCAGACGCTGTCATTGTCATGGCTGCTGCGGTTGCCACAGCAGCAACAAGACACTTGTAAAAATATTTAAAAATATTCACAAGACTAGATGATTATCAAAAATTGTATTGAAACCAAAACTTAACTTAACTTATAAATAAAAACTTTGTTTGAAAATACATAAAGTTTTTATGATGTGGATCTAAGAGCTAATTCATAGAATACCTTCAAAATTATTATTATATTTGCTAACTTATAAACCAGATCCCAAAAAAATTTTTTTTTCTTTTTAAAAAGCCTTTTTATAATTTAGTTCTCCGGAAGATTTTTGAACATTTTTTCTTGAGTGCAAACAGCTGCGTGGAATGCCAGCAATGATCTCGCGTTGTGGCTCGTTTCTGTCGAATCCGAATGCGCACATAAATTCTATCAAACAAGCAAATGGAAATATTAAGGAAATTTAGACATGCTATCCTCAAGAGCGAGCTGGTGAGTGGGGGAAATAGAGAGGATCCGCGGAGGATGCATGGGATAGTGAAGGGGAAGTGGTGGCGGCTGGAAAGTCAAAGCGACCGCCGCCAATTTCGAGGCGCGGCAATGGCAATCCATGGCATAATACTAGGGAGTATTATGGCAAGTCAAAGGCTAGACCGAGTGAGTGGTTGGCTGAAACCGAAACCAACCGCAGAGCAGCATACATCATTTTCACACCAAAAGCCAATCCGCG